TGAAAACGACCTAGGGGTCTACAGCAGATCCTGACCTGGGACATTGAGGAGTGTGGAGTGTGTCCAGAGAAGGGCAATGGAGCTGATGAAGGGTCTGGAGCACAAGTCTTATGAGGAGCAGCTGAGGGAGCTGGAGGTGTTTAGCCTGGAGAAAAAGAAAAAAAGGATGTTCAGGAGTGACCTTATCTCTCTCTCTTAAAACTACCTTAGAGTGTAGCACACAAGGATCAGCCTCTTCTCCCAGGCAACTAGCAACTGGAGAAAAACACATAGCCCCAAGATGGGCTAGGGGAAGTTCAGGTTGGACATGAGAAAGAATTTAGTCACTGAAAGAGTGGTTAAGCATTGAAACAAGCTAACCAGGCAGGTGGTGGTGCCACCATCCCAGGAAGTGTTCAGTAAACAACTAGACATGCAACCTGAGGCTATGGTTTAGTTGGCATGGTGGTGATTAGTCAAAGGTTGGACTTACAGGTCTTTTTCAACTTTAATAACTCTATGATTTGTAGGAAATTCAGTCTTAGGAATATATTTTTAATGGGACAATCCATGGAATAAGAGAAGGTAACAAATATATACCAATCTACACACAGCGTGGAAAGGCAAGGACATCAAAAGTGTCATAAGCTAAAAAAAAAAGCTTATAAGTTTACATAAATCATGTTCTGTTCATTTAGTATTGTTGGCAAGGCAATACAAGCAACAAATTGAGTCACAGATTACTGACATTTATGCAGAGACACAAGTTTTCAGACAAAGATAGGCTCCTCAGTCCTGCATTTTTACAGGCTACTAAAAAGAGTATGTACTATTAAGTAAGCTGTAAAGCACAACTTCCAGGATCAGACTATACATTTAAAATAATCACAAAAAAATTTAAAATATAATGGTTAGCCCCTCTGGAAGCAGGACAGGGTTGTAAAGCATTAAAATAGACCACCCAAGAAAGTAGTGGAGTCACCCCCTCTGGAAGTGTTCAAAAAAGTGTGTGGATATGTCACTTGAGGAGGTGATATAATGGTGAATATGGTGGTGGTGCTGAGTTGGTGGCTGGACTCAAAGGACTTTTCCAACCTTAAAATTTCTCTGATTCTATGATAAGAGCAAGAAGAATAAGAAAAAGCTCTTCAAAATAATTTAGTGGGTAGCAACATATAAGCATCTCTAGATTGTATCCTGTTCCCTGTAATTATCAACCAGATAATCATTTTTTCATGTTAAAACTTAACCTCTACTAGTTAAATCTGCCTTGCCTGTTGCTATACGCCTATTACTGAACAGATCCAGTCACTTCCAGTAATGAAGCTAACAACTCTTCATAACTCTTAAAAACAATCACTCCTTCATTTGGAAGCCAGTGCCTGCCTACATGCACATTGGAGAATTTGGTTTTGACTCTTTATCTCTAATGTATCTTATTAGTTAGAACACTTTTTTTGAGACGATCTTTTCTGCTCTCTTATGCATGTATTTCAGAGCATAAAAAAGTATTTTAGTTCAACTTCACATCTGTTGTGATTTCATTCAGCTACTTTAGCCTTTGCAATACTACAAATGCAATAACACATCAATATTCTTCATAGAGAATTCAGCATGTATAGATTTGCTGGATATTTTCATCTAAGTTTCTGGGGAGTGGGGTGGGAAGGAATGGGCATTTTTTCAGTGTATGAAGAGGACAAGTTTCTAAAGTGATGCACTGCTTCATAGGTTCATACCAAGTCAGCCACTTTTTTCCATATGCCTACTGACAATCACATTTAATTTATACATGCAGAATATTAACATAATTCCCCCTCTATGACCCAACCAAAACCAAGACTGCATCTCATCTGTTTCAGTCTATCAAGAACCTCCATACTTTGAAATTGTCACTGCCTTCGCTCGTCAGAAGCCTTCGAAGAAGAGATCCTCTGTTTTAGGCAGGACTTTTCTTCTTCGAAGGCTTCTGACGAGCGAAGGCAGTCACAATTTCAAGATGAAATGCTCACCGTGTAAAAAAAATTAAATGTGTATCATTTTCAGCCTACCTGAATGTCACCTTCTTTCTATTTATGAAGGTATTTGCATACTTTGAGATTTCTCACTTTCCCTTTTCTCCCTGCACCAATTATATCCATTAAGAAGCACATCTAAAGCAACAGCAAGTTCCTGAAAAATCAGCACTACTTTAAGCAAGGTAAAAGGTAAAGAATAATCTTCAGAAACAAGTATAAGATACCTCCTTCTTAGGGCAAGGCTATGAAGACATCCTGCAGCAGATGACCATCTCCACAATGGACTTACCTGTCACCTGAGGGACAGGACAGATCTCTGCTATTTAGAAAATTATAAACAATTGTAATTTTGTACAAACATGTCAATAAGAAGTTCTATACACTTCAAATTCTTTAGAGTAAACAAAACAGACTTATCTCTTAAATCTGATTTTCATTTCACACAGTACTTGAAAGACTGGAAATGCCTTTTTGCTTATGCCAGTCAAAATTTGTTTTACAGAATTTTTTTTTTAAAGCCAAATAGTAGAGGACAAGTTTGCTCACTTCTCTTAAGTATCCCTAAAAAATTCATAATGCTTTAGTATGAGTTTCTGCAGTGTAAAAATAGACACCCTGTATTACAAACTCATACAAAATACATCAGTACTTTCAAAATTAATGTAACATCATTTCACAGAGACAAAAATAGCAGTCAGTCAAATGGCTGCACCCTAAACTGTCACATGGTTAGCTGAAGTTTTCTTAAACAAAGCAACCTATTTAAGTCAAGCATATGATGACATGTTCTAAATGTGTTACAGGAACAAAAGTACTCCATAATTAATACTGAAGCAAGTTTCTCATAATCCTTGATCTACTCCCACTTCACCAAGACAGAAGCACAAAACATGCGTTGGACATAACCAGCAAGTATTATATGAAGGTTGTTTTTTCTTCTCTCTTGCTTAACATGGTGGACTAACTCTGTGGTGTAGAAGACTAAGGAAACAAGGGATACTTTTGTAATAAACTCCAAGGCAGTTTAAATACTAGTGATTTTGGTAAACTATCCCCACAAAAAAATAATAATTGTGCGCATAATCCAAAAATATATAAAAACTGATTTTATTTCTCTGGATTTCCCCACGTGCATATCACATGTACCAGAAGTTAGATCAGCCTTTCACAGGCTGATCTAACTTAGTCAAGGCACTTCATTGTATCATTTCAGGTTGAAGTGCTTTGATGTTCTCAAAGCAAAGCATCTCACCTTAGAGGTTATTGCAGTGAACATGTATTACATTTTTTAACTGCTATGGTCATTTCACACACACATAACCAACCTGCTGTTCATTTTTCATGCTTGGTATTTTTGTCAAGGGAACTGATAATTTCTCACATTTATTTAGGATGAATCCATTTCCATGATTACTTTACAAAAGTCAGCTTATAATTTCAACCATAAAGTCTGCACAGAACCACAAACAGGTATTTGCTGATGGAATACTCTCTGACAAACTCCAAACATTTTCAGAAAGTAATTTTTGTTAAATATTGTGGGTTTTTTCAAAGAGACTTTCACAGTGAAATTATTATTATATGGACTACAGCCTTTCTGTCCTGAAACTAAAGATAGAATTCCTCTGAAAATCAACTACAGAAGAGAGTGGTGATCAAGCTATCACTGTCTTCTGTATTAAAGACCAGTAGGTTTCATGTATAGATGTTTTAACCCACATCAGGTTCAATAATAACAATCTATTCTTTCTACCACAACATTGGGATCATTACAAGATGTCTGCTATATTGTTGTATATCACCCCAGGAATTCCATATAAGTACAGTGCAGCTGTGAGCCATCAGACACTTCAACAGCCATTAAACTAAAGATAACTTATTCTTTCAGATAAAGTAGGTTGCTGTCATTGGTTTAACAGGAACTCTCACTGAAATTTCTCTTCTTGCTTCCCACCAAGCACAAGTGCTCTGTGCTTTGCATGTTGAATAGAAAGGACGGTGGACAAAGTCAGTGCTTTTATTTTAATCTCTAACTTTTTTCTCCAAGACCTTGGGCTACTTGGCCTACTGAAGATAGCCTCTACCAGGTCAGTAAAGCACATCAGCCACTGTCTTTTACGTTGGTGATCTTGGCCTGAAACTGCAAGCATTCAGTTATGCTAAAAAGGAGCTACGGCTCCCTAGGACATCATCTTACGTCACCTGGCTTCCCTCTCAACAGAGATAATCAGCACAACTCCGTAAACCCTGTACAGAACACAGAGTAAAGTACTCTCCAGCACATGACGTTCATTAAAACGGAGTGCGAAAGGAAGGATAGAGAACGTCTGACAGAGGACGAAAAAAACTTGCTTGGAGTCTGCTTTCAGTTCAGCCCCCGGCGCCCGCGCCGCACCTGCCCCGCGCCCCGGGCGGGCAGCGGCAGTACCGGCCTGCGGGCTCGCCGGGGAGCCAGGGGCCGCCCGGGACCCCGCTGGCACGATTCAGAGACTCACACAATGGGTCAGGCTACAAGACACGAGGTCATTTGGTCCAACCTGTCTGCTCAAGCAGAATGATCCAGGAGCACGTGGCACAGGCTTGTGTCTATATAGTTCTTGAGCATCTCCCGTGAGGGAGACTCCACAACCTCTCTGCGCCATCTGATCCAGTGCTCCGTCACCTGCACGGTAAAGAAGTTTTTCCTCCTGGAAGTTCTTCGGGTGGAACTTCCTGTGCATCAGTTTGTGCCCATTGCCTTTTGTCCTACTGCTGGGCGCCACTGAGAAAAACCTGGCTCCGTCCTGTCGACACACGCCTTTTAGATATTTACACAGCATTCACAACGGACCTGGAGACGGATTCTGTTCCTGCTGCGCGGCAGCGCCCCGCCGCTCGCTGCTCCCCCACTGTCCCCCAGCCGCTACTCAGCCCTGTCCCCACCCACGCACGGGAGCCTCATGGCGCCCGAGCCTGCACCGCGCTGGGCTGGGCTGGGCCGGGCCGTTCCTCGCGGGCGCAGCGGCTGCCGAGCGCTGCCGCCCCGGCCGCTCTCGCCCCGCCTCGCCGCTCTCGGTAAGCGACGGCCGTGCAGGGGCGATGGGGTGGGGCGGTGGAGCCTCGTGTGTGCGGCTGCGCCGGGGCGCTCAGGCCGGGACCGCGGGCTGGTGGCGGCAGCAGTGGGTCTGCGCGTGTGCGGCGGCGGCCCAGCCAGGAGCGGCGGGCGGCGGCGTGGGACGTAGCGGTGAGGCCCGGGGAGGGTACGGGGCGAGGGGCGCAGGCAGAGCCGGCAGAGGTACGGAGGAAGGGGGAGCCCGCGGCGGCGGTACTGCTGCCCCGCAGCGGGGCGGGCGGCGCGCTGGCCCCTCCTCTGCGGCGGGGCGGAGGAGCCGTGCGGGCGGGCGGCCGTGCCCGGCGTCCCCGGCAGGTTGCGCGGGGCCCGCTGAGCAGCGCCGGAGTTGCGGTGACCTGTGGGAAAAGCAGAGCTCCAAGGGCCTGATTGTTCCGGAATGCAAGGGGGAATTTAATTTATTTCAACTGATTTCCCACGTACTTCCTCCCCAGAGCCCACTGAGCCTGGCAGTCCCTGCGGTCGCTTGAGAACTGGTGACAGCCTGACCGCCCCCGATGGGGAGTGAGCCTGGCTCGGCCGGGTGGACCCTCGGGCTTCTGTTCAAAAGCCTTTTGATCCTCCCCTTTGTTTTTGTTAATTGCCGATGCCTTGGAGGTCTTCTGCCACTGGGGCCTTTGTTTGAAGCTTCCGTGGCGGCTGTGGTTAAGCTGCTCCGAGCTTGCCGAGCTCGCAGCTGTCCCTTGCGGGAGCTCCGTCTGCGGAGGGGTTCGGCGTTGCTGATACCGCACGGGCAGGCTCACCGTGAAGGAGTGGAAGTCCTCCGGGGGGTGCCCGCGTGTCGCGAGGTTGCGAAATAACAAAACCAGTTCGAAGTAGCTGGTCGGTGGAGTTTAAAACTTATATTCCAGTCTGAACTTGCTTAACTGCTGCAATCTTGATACTGCTTTCTGCTGAAGAAATCATAGGAAATAAGTATTTTTTTCAGTTTTACAGTACCATCTTTTTAATTCCTGTTAGACTGTTAGACGTATAGTCTAACAGTATAAAAGAACAAATAGAAAATTGTGATGTCTGCATCTGTTGTTATGCTTCTGATTTTTTTCCTAATTTGACAATAGACACTTTAGTATAGGTCTGTACAGTTGGTGTCCTTAGTTTTTGAGGTTTCACAGCCTACAAGCTACTTGTAAAGAAACGGTTCATAAGAAAATCTTTTTCTTAAAGAGTTTTTATTAATAAGGGTTTTTGTGTTGGGCCTGTGTAACAGTAGATATTTAAATAAAATGTTAGTTAGTTTCCCATTCTCACCTGATTATTGAAAAGGAAAAAAATTATTCCCACAAAGCACCTTCTCTAATTTGTGCAAATATGTGGTGTCTCTGACAGGAATTTAGGCGTGCAGCATCATGGTTATGAAAGCTACACTAGAAGATGATGATTCAGGATGGGAACTTGGTATGCCTGACAAGATGGAAAAGAGTAATACCAGCTGGATAGATATAACCCAGGATTTTGAAGAAGCTTGTAGAGGTGAGTTGTAGTCCTTTCATTCTGAGAAAACTTGGAATCCTTTGGAGGCCTAAGCATAGTTCTTTCAGCTCTTTTGAGCAATAGTGTGACCCAGGTTCAAGCTTCAGATGCATGAGCTACATTGATTCTGTGTTAACTCGGAGATTAGAATTGTCATGAACCACCTCACTTTGTTTCCTCTTCCAGATTACGTAAATACCTCTTTAATTCAAGTTTTTTCATTTTACGCATTTTCACATCTGCTTTTCTTTCTTTTGTCTCTTCTGCCAAGTGGAAATGTCATACCTGCATGCAGAGTCAACACTCTGTTTCTTTCTTGCATATTTTTGGCTCTCCAGGCTCCAGTAATTCATTTAATTCATCAGTGCATCATTTTTCATCTTTGAAACAAGTCTGAGTTTTTGAATTGATGCAGTGCATCTCAGTAATGGCGAAGCAGTTGCTTTCATTTAAACAGTGCCTTTATTACTGTTAGGTGCTACTGCTAGTTTTTTCAACTGATTTTATGATGACACTAGGAAAAAATAAATATAAAAAAATATAAAAATAAATATAAAAACTGCATCTTACCACACAGGTTATTACATAATGATAAGCACAATTTCTGTATATTATTTTTCTATATTACTCTAAATGACTTATAAATAATTATTTCTCTATATTACTTATATCTGTAATAGATTACTTATATCTGTACCCATCAAATATATCTAAAGACTCCTTTAAAAGTTATGAGGGAAAGCAAGCTTTTCACTAGTCTCCCCTGGAATAGACTAAGATACCTGCATAAAGGAGCAGAGGAAACAGCTGTATTTCAGGCTATTCAGATGCCACTATTTCACAGAATAATCATCACAGAATGATTTGTGCTAGATTTGTGCTTTCGTTCCAACTCTCCTGCCATGGACAGGGGCACTTTTCACCAGACTGTGTTGCTCAAAGCCCCATCCTACCTGGCCTTGAACAGTCACAGGGATGGGGGATGCACAGCTTCTCTGGGCAACCTGTTCCAGTGACTCCCCACCTTCATAGTAAAAAATTTCTACCACTATCTAATCTAAATCTCTTTTAGTTTAACAGCATTTCCCCTTGTCCTGTCAGTACATGCCCTTGTAAAAAGTCACTCTCCAGCTCTTTTCTAGCCTTCCTTTATGAACTGGAGGGGTGCTAGATGGTCTCCATAGACTCTTTTCTTCTCCAGGCTAAACAGCCCCGATTCTTTCAGCCTGTCTTCACAGGAAAGGTGCTTTAGCCTTCCATTCATTTTTGTTTGTCTCTTCTGAACTTGTACCAACAGACCCATGTCCTTCCTGTGCTGGAACCCCAGACCTGGATGCAGGGTTCCAGGTGGGGTCTCATCAGAGCAGAGAGGCAGAACCCCCTCCCTTGACATGCAGCCCAGTATATCAGCTTTTTGTGCTGTGAGTGCACTGTGTGCTTCATAATTCTAAAACTTCTTTACTTTCTAGAATAACAGAGGGATGTGGGCACACTGTTAACCATGGGGTTTTTTTTCAGTCTTTCAGTCTTGAAAGTGCTTTGTAAGTAAAAGCAGTACTGTCATGGGTTGACCTGGGCCAGATGCCAGGCACACACCAAAGACACTCACTCTGCCCTGCAGCTGGACAGAGGAGAGAAAACCTAATGAAAGGTCATGGGTTGAGATAAAGACTGCAAGAGATCACTCACAAAATATAATCATGGGCACAACAGGCTCAACTTAGAGATATGAAGGGAATTAATTATTGACAAAATCAGAGCAGGATAGTGAGAAAGTAAAATAACCCTTAAAAACAGCGTCCTTCCTTCCGTCCTTCCTTCCGTCCTTCCTTCCATCCTTCCTTCCTTCCTGCTCTGCCTGCTACCCCAGCAGCACAGGGAGACAGGGAATGGGGGTTGTGGCCAGTTCATCACCTGAGGCTTCTCCCACTGCTCAGGGAGAGGAGTCATTCCCCAGCTGCACCGTGGGATCCCTCCCATGGGAGACAGTTCTTCATTAGCTTCTCCAACATGGGTCCATCTCATGAGCAGCAGCTCTCAGTGAACTGCTGCAATGTGAGTCCATCCCATGGACACACAGTCGTCCCATAATGGGTCTCTCTTCCACAGAGTGCAGTCCTCCAAGGATAGGCTGCTCCAGCATGGGAGCAGGGCCCCTCTTTCCACAGGTCTCCCATAGGTTCACAACCCTTCCTCAGGCATCCACCAGCTGCAGGTGGATCTCTGCATTCCTGTGGGCCTCTATGGGCTGCAGGGGCACAGCTTCTGCACCATGCAGGGGAATCTCAGGTCCAGCAACTGGAGCACCTCCTCCCCCTCCTTCTTCACTGAGCTTGATGTCTGTAGTGCTCTTCTTCTCCCATGTTCTCACTCAGCTCTTCTCCATCTGCAGTTGAAACTGTGCAATTTGGGTGTTTTTTGTTTTTCTTCTTGAATCTGTTACCACAAGGTATTATTGTTTCTATCTGGCCCAGCAGCACATCCATCTCTGAAGCTGCCAGGGATTGGCTCTGCTGGACATGGAAGAAGCTTCTGGCAGTTTCTCACAAAAGTCATCCCTGTAGTTATTCCCCCACAAGCTACGAAACCCAGGCCATGCAAACCCAATGCAAGTAGGAATGCCTGATCTGCTGCCTGAAGCTTGTTCTGTCTTGGCATAAGGCAGTTTGGTGCGTGACAAGACTACTCTGGAAAAGTTGTGCTAATAGGATGATTGTAATTGTTTGTTTTGTCCTGTTCCTTTATAGAACTGAAGTTAGGAGAACTGCTTCATGACAAGCTGTAAGTATGTGTGTGGGATGGTTCTGGCTTTTAGATAAGATTACTGCAAACATGTTGATGTTACCTAATAACTAAGCTTTAGACTTTCACTTTAAATAAACTATTTGAAGTATATAGAATATCATATATTCTTAGTGGTATGTATATGCTGCACCTGTATGAATGCTGAACATGTCTGATGCTCTAAGTATAACATTACATTTTTCATTGTGATTGAAATTGTATTTCAGAAGTTCATAGCACATCTTATGATCTGTGGTGATTACATTACTATCTTATGGGACATGCTTTTGTGAAAAAAGGCCAGAAGGACTTTAAACCTGGTTGCCTCAAATGTCACTATCAAGTATTTCATAAACAATATGTATGCCTTAATGCAATGTAAATAACATGCTAAAGCAGAAAGTGAGAACTCTACACACTGGAAGTATATTTCAAAGAAAAGCATGTGGTAAAGACTTGCTGAATTTATTTGAGAATGATTAAATAATTTAAATATTTTAAAGATTAAATTCTTCCTAGTGAAGGTGTTCACTTGAGTAAATAAAAAAGTTATATTTGAAACTAATAGCTCAGAAGACAGAAGCATGCTATTAAATGAAAACCTGCTAAAAAGTGTGTGCAAGGCTGTCACCAGCTAGTTACTAAGTAGAATCAAAGCAAATTTTCAGGTGTAGTTTTTTACATAAGAGCATTTCAGAGCAAATACAGAAAATACAGAATTTAAATGAGCCATATGCAATAGGCTTTTTGTATTATAAAGCCTGTTGCTGGAGTTCTGACAAATGTCATGATAAAGTGAAGCACTGTATCTCTTCATGTGTAGGCAAGTCTTTTGGTGTGGCTCTTCTGCAAGCTTTTTTTCTTCTTCCCTGACTACACGTGATATGTTGTCTCATGCTGAGGGTTTTTTTTGCATCAGTTTTGTTAATGTGCCCATTTTAAACAAAGCTGGTATATTCAATATATATTAGTCTATGTTAGGTATATTGTCATTAGTGTGTGGGGAACATATCTTGTTTTTTTTGGGATGTGGTGTACTAAGGAACAGCTTCAGTTAATGTCAGTTTATGATTTTACATGATGTTTAAGAAGATGCTGTGAAGTTTATAGAAACAAGTGTGCAAAGATATAGTAGTGGGATATTTTGCTCAGGAGTGTTCTTCATCCTTAGATAAAGGCTAATAATTTTCTTTTAGCCATCTCTTCTCCTACGAATTTCATGAGAGATCCTTAACTGAAAACCATGACCTCTGAAGATCAATACTAATGTTCACATACCTTATTGTCTGTGGTCAGAATATAGTGTACTTGGTTTGTCATCCTATGTTCTTTTTTGTTAGTTTGCAAAGACTACTTTGTATAAAATAATTACATTCAGCACATTTATTTCATTTGTGTTCTTAGTTTTGGTCTTTTTGAAGCCATGTCTGCCATTGAAATGATGGATCCCAAGATGGATGCTGGTATGATTGGAAATCAGGTTAACAGAAAGGTTCTTAACTTCGAGCAAGCTATTAAGGTTTGTGTGAATTTCCTGGCTTTGCCTACACTGTCTGTAGAAATACTCATTTTTGTCAAATTACAGCTAAGCACAATACAGCATAATTCATGTTTTCAATCTTCTCTTGACATCTCTGGTTTTTTTTTTCTTTTGAATAATTAAGTAAAAAGTAGCTTGTAATGCTTACCTTTCTTGTTACCTGCATTATCACAATGATGCTAACTCTTCCAGTGAAAAGTAGTATGAAATTATTAGTTATTGATACCTCAAGTAAATATATCTCCAACATTGTTTTGCAAGTCACTCTGCTTTCCCAAAATCTGTCTTTTATGTGAAGATGTATTGGTTAGCTTCTGTTTAACCTGAATGGAAACCAGCTTTCTTAAAAAAGCTGGAAATTAACATTTTATCATTCTTTGAGTTTATCAGCATGAGCAGAAGCCAGATAATTTACCAACATTGACAGTAATGATTAACTTTTGATTTATGATCAAGATAAATCGGAGGACAGAGGTTGAAAGACTTGCTGTTATTTCAGAAAAAGTAATGCACTCAGAGGAAAAAGTATTTTTTTATGGTGAGCATTTGGACTGGAGTCAGAGAACTCCGTAAAATACTAGCTAAGTCATGTAGAATTTATCCAGGATTGCATACACTGGGCAAATTAAATTACGTAATTTGCAGCCTTTTTGGTGTTGATCTTTAAGGCAGTAAAACACTACAAGTATTTCCAGTTTAAAAAGCAGTCTTCAAGGAGTTGGTACTGTATATTACTCCTTGTTCAATCTTTATTATGATGATATAGTTTTGTGATTTTAGTGTTAGAAGTTAACTGGTGTTAAACTTTTCCTGACTAGTAATAAATAAGAATTCTTATTTTAGTCTTCTCTTTGGATAGTTTTATGTTTGGTTGGTGTTAACTGATGGGAATGAAAAGTTTTCAAGAATTTGAGACATGTTGTAAAGCTGATCAGTAAAGCTGGTGGTATACAATTACTCTGAAGCCTTGAACAAAATTTTAGTTTATTTTTTGGCTTTGGTACAAATCAGTTGTATTTTGTCGGTATGCTTTCATAGTATTTAGAATTTTGGTTGGGTTTTTTTTGTTTGTTTGTTTTCTAAGGATGGCACCATTAAAATAAAGGATCTCACTTCACCTGAGCTGGTAGGAATAATGGACACGTGTTTTTGTTGTTTGGTAAGCATTTTTCTGTTATTTAGGTTAGCTTAATTTTGATTTTTAATTTTTTTACTATAAGAAATATGGAAGACAGCAGCTAGCACCTTAAAAACTTTAAAAGATTTTATAGTTTCTGGTTTTATAAATGCATGTTATCTGATTGCCTGCTGTGTATTGATGTTTGACTGTGTTGGAAGCTGAGTGTGCAGTAACTGGTAGCACTCTGTTGATCCTTTCTGTACAGCCAAAATTGACTGAGCTTACAAAAGCTTTTTGAACAAAGAAAATAAATCTATTTAGTAAAAATAAGTTGAATATCAGTTACTTATTAATTGCATTTTTTTTCTGTGTATATGCTTTAATTTTCTCCGTGAATGATACTCATTATTTTCATCTATTCTTTAAAATTACATCAAAAATATTATTTTTAAAAATATTTCCAATCAGTTTAGTCAGAATAACATGTAAAGATCATAGTATATCTGATTCAGTGTAACATCATTTGTTTTCTACTCCTGGTCTCCGAAAGGGGACCATATTAAAAATATGGTTCTACTTAATTTTTTGCTATTTCAAGATAGAAACTTAAGTTACTGAATTGTTCCCTGTAGCTTAAGGAAACATGGAAGTGGTAGAGAGGGGATTGTGACCGGAAACTTTTATGAGAGAGAATGTGAAGAACATTAATGACTTGTCTCATAGTCATTTCCATTTTCCATTCACTATTTTGCAGAGAAAATTTGTAAATGTGAAGTTCTCTTGACATAATGTCATGTATAAATCACAGGGGTTAGACCTGAACTTCAGAGAATAGGTTTATCCAATGCCAGAATTCTAGGCCTGAAACACCTTCACTTTTTTGGTACTTGGAAGTTTGCCTTGAGTAAAGGCAACTTTAATTTTAAGGTTTCATTTCTTAATGGGTCTTTGAAGCACAGTAAAATGGAAAAGGAATGGATCTATAAAAATGAGGACTTGGCTGTCATGAGTTAAATATTTAATTTCCTTTTCTCTAGATAACATGGTTAGAAGGACATTCCTTGGCACAGACAGTATTCACTTGCCTTTATATTCATAATCCAGACTTCATAGAAGATCCTGCTATGAAGGCTTTTGCTCTTGGAATCCTGAAAATCTGTGATATTGCCAGAGAAAAGGTTAACAAAGCAGCTGTTTTTGAGGAGGTATGTGTTTCCCATCTCCTGTGGGGTTAAATGTGCAACATTATACCATAATGCAAGTAAAACAATGTATTAATGCCATTTGTTAGTGTTTGATTCGAGGATACTGTAGGAATAGCAGTTCATGATCCTAAAAGTGTTAGACTGGATACCTTTAAAATGTAGTTATTTGCATTAACGCCACAATGAAGGTATTTCATGCTCTCTTCTACATTTTCCTTGAATACTGTAGTCACATGAATATTTTAATCAAGAAGTAGTGCAAGTCTTGTGGCTAACCATTTGAAATACATTTCAGTTGTGAAACTGTTTAATTTTTTTATTTTTCTATGTTAGATAGTAATGATTACGTTTTGTCTAAAATGTCCATCTGGCACTGGGATCAGAGTCCTGTTTTCTGTCCTCAGCTCAGAGGAAATAGAGTTTGCTCTTGAAGAAGTCACTCTTGCTGACTATGTCTAAAATGGATCAAATACTACTTCGCAGCTATAGTTCTTGTAACATATTGGTAGGGTGTCACTTGATGAAAATATGAAGGGTGTATTGGTATTAAGGATTTATGCAGAAAATAATTACCTGAAGCTGGATTTGGGTGGGAAAGTCATTCAGTGTATTCATTCTTAGTGCATTCTGTACTTGATGGAATTAAACAAAAGCACACCTCATGCACATCCCCAATCACTCCTCCAAAAGAGAAAAAACAGCAAAAAGACCCAAAACCTAATAAGAAAACAAGTCCCAAAAAACCCAAACCAAAAAGAAAACCTCAAACCCCAGCTTGAAAATGTAAGTGCAGCTTTTATATTTCACTGCATATTGCTTCTTTGATTTTTCTTTTTTAGGAAGATTTTCAGTCAATGACTTATGGATTTAAAATGGCCAACAGTGTGACAGATCTTAGAGTTACAGGTACAGTTTGTGCTTTCTTTGTATCTGTCCAGCAGCCTCTTTCTCTTTTGGGCATGTGATTGCTTTCAGACACATCTGATTAATTGCTAGGAGTCTCAGCTATTAAGTTTTTTATTTGTCTTGTGGAAATTGCTGACTTGGTAAAAATGAGATGAAATTATTTTTTCCTTGAAAAAAAGGTTCAGTTGTCTTTTTTTTTTTAATCCGTGAGAAACAGAAGAAGTGCTTTTAGATGTGCCAGTGAAGTGGCTAAGCACGAGCTCAACACAGTAAAGTTACAGATCAGTGAAAAGTGCATTGTTTGAATTCTGCTTTTTTGCCTCTTAATTTGTTGTGCTCTAAATAGGCTGCTTTAGAAAAAAAGCAGTCTGGTAGTTCTACAGCTATGAATACATATGTTATTAAGTACATGTATAAGTATGTAAATTAATCTTTTGATGCACTAGTTTTTTAGGTGTGTTTGAGCTTTCCATTGATTTATTTTTGAAAAACCTGTGCATGCTTTAGCGTTGCATCAGTTGGTCTGAATTCTGATTTTTTATTGTTCCAAGACATCCCCACCATCCCTCACAAGATTATTTTTTGTCTAGTCTTTGACTAATGGATATGTAAAGCACTTTCAAGTTTGATTTTCCCCATAAAACTTCTTTTCCCCTGAGTGGTGTAGGTGTGCCTAGGAATGCTTCTCAGCTTTTAATCATGCTGTGATTTTTTCCAGGTATGCTGAAAGATGTAGAAGATGACATGCAAAGACGAGTAAAGGTATTGTTTTCATGTTTGTCTTGTCAATTATATTTCAGGTGTACTTAACATTGGTTTTGGGGTAGGGAGCTGGATGATGTGGAATGAAGGAGGTTTGTGTCATTAGGGTGGGGTTTTTGGAGAACTGCCATAATGGTTTCTGCAACATGCTTTTAGTTTGTCTTCTAGCTAGATCTTCAGACTTTATTTGTAAACTCCTTAGTAGTTGCTTCAGTAGCAGTAGAAGCTAGAATCATTATGTAGAAGATAACACTGGGCTGGGACACAGAAAGTAGTATTTAACTTTCAAGTTTTAAGCAGATATAGTATGTAATGTTAAAGAAGTTACTTAATTTTCTTTTACCACAGCTTACAGTGTAAAGCATTCATGCACTTTCCTTGCTGATTTGTAGAATTTACTGAGATAGATCTTATTAGTATAGGAGAGTCATTCAAGTATCTGGATTATATTTTAAGAATTTTTGAATTTGAAAACTGATTTTTTGAGTTATTTAACAGGTGGATGTTTTAGAGAAGGCAAAGAGATTTTATCAGTAGCTTCCCTTTGCAATTTTTAGTAAATTATTTGACATTTCTTTACCTTGCAGAGCACCCGAAGTCGACAAGGAGAAGAGAGAGATCCGGAAGTTGAACTTGAAGTAATGAATTGTTTGCTTTTTTCCTGGATTTCATGAATGTAAATGGGAGATGTAAATATGGCATAACCACACCCATGTGTATAAGAAGCAGCCAGGAAGTGTGAGCGCCAAGGAGCATACGGAAGAGCTGGCAAACAGCAGGGCATGCCGAGGCTTTTTGTGTGGCAGTTTGTGCAGGGAGGGCAGGAGTCCTGTGGGAGTTCTGCACACCACAATACAAGAAAGCCATTAAGGTATTAGAGAGTGTCCAAAGAAGGGCCATGAAGATGGTGGATGGCCTTGAGGGGAAGCTGTATGAGAAGCAGCTGAGATCACTTGCTCCGTTCAACCTGGAGATGAGGAGACTGAGGGGAGACCTTATTGCAGTTACAACTTCCTTGTGAGGAGAAGAGGAGGGGCAGGCACTGATCTCTTCTTTGGTGGTGACCAGTGACAGGACTTGGGGGAATGGCCTGAAGTTGTGTCAGGTGAGATTTAGGTTGGATATTAGAAACAGAGTTTTCATCCAGAGTGGTTGGGCACTGGAACAGGTTCCCCAGGGAGGTGGTCGCAGCACCAAAACTCTGAGTCCAGGAAAGTTTGGACCACACTCAAGCAGTTGGGATGCGCCAGGAGTTGGGCTGATGATCCTTCTGGGTCCCTTCCAACACAGGATATTCTATGATTCTATTATCAAATATCTACTGCTTAGTAATCAGCAGTATTATTTTATTACAGCATCAACAATGTTTAGCTGTCTTCAGCAGAGTCAAGTTTACCCGCATCTTACTCACTGTCCTAATAGCTTTTACAAAAAAAGAGGTATGTTCATTTGGCGTTTCTGTTTTTGCATTGGGATCCTGTGAAATACCCATTTTTCATTCTTTAAGATCAGGTAATTACTGTGTAGATTGAGGAGATTTGAATTGATGTGGATGGAGGTAAAGCTTTGAGTAAAGCCTTACAGTGGCAAATACTCAGTTCAAAGTGGGAAGCACAGGGAAGGCTAGTAGCTGACATTATTATGGCCTTGCAGAAAGACATATTAATTACAAAATGTTTAAAAATATTTATGAATTTCTAATTACTCTTTTCACACACAAGCAAAACTTCTTGTTTGAGTTCAGTTCTCTCCTGTGGAGTTACTTGATGCTGGGCAGTATTCTGTCCATATCAGAAGAACTGTATGCTCTTCCTTCCATGTAATATGGAATTTATATCTACATATCTTTGGTCTGGGAAGAGGAATTTAATAGTCTTCCATACAATTTGCCTGTTTTTTGAATATAAGATTTTGTAATTGCTGAGAGGGGTAGAACTACGTGCCCCCCCCAAGCAGACTCTCATGCATAGTGTACAAGACTTTCAGTTGTAACTATTGTAAAGTCTTACACACCAAAATTTGCAGCATTGAATTTATGTACAGTTACATAAAATACGCTACCACACAAAAATGTTGCATTTGGGGTGTTTTTTTCAGAGCAGGTTATGTAAAAATATCAGAATTTTAATGCCCTTCCTTTTTTTTATACTAACATTAATTAGATAGTCAAAATGTATTGGTTTGTAGTAATAATAATAGTTTCCTGCCTTTCAGACTAGTGCAGTTGCAGAAGCTCAGAAACTAATGACTCAGGCAGCTGACTTGCTCTCTGCCATACACAATTCACTGCATCATGGTATGCAGGCACAGAATGATACCACTAAAGGAGGTATGTATCAAATTACACAATTTTTTCCTTTCCTGGGTATGATCCCTTCATAAACACAAATACCTTTGTGTATTGAAAAAAAAAATTGAAAACAGTATTTACTTTGAACTAAAACACTCGTTATGCAAGTCGTTACAGATTTGCATTGTTTGATTTTAATTTTATTTTACCAGGTGGTGGTTCTCCTGAGAGCAACACTGTAATTTCAAAGCCAGAGATAATGTGAACTATTGGTTAAGTGCATTGCACTTAGAATCAGAGTGTATACCATTTTAAAATAGGGAACAGTACTTCACTGTTTGTACACGAGGACTTAGGTTTTTTAAAGAGTAATCATTGTCGTAGTTGGGTTGTTGGAGTCTCAGGAAGTTAACTGTCACTTAAAGAATTCATTTTGGCTAATTCAATAATTTGTATTATTGAAAGGGGTTATGAAAACACAACTTATATGCAGCTTGTCTCTGTCTCTCTCCCCTTCTTCTTTAGATCATCCTATTATGATGGGGTTTGAGCCACTGGTTAATCAGAGATTGCTGCCACCAACTTTCCCTCGATATGCAAAAATCATTAAAAGGGAGGAAATGGTCAAATATTTTTCCAAACTAATAGACCGAATAAAAACTGTATGTGAAGTAGTCAACTTAAGTAACTTGCACTGTATACTGGTAAGCATAAATGTTTCTTATTTATTGCCAGAAATAAGATCTGAAAATGTTACTTGGAAAAAAATCATTCCATATATGCATGCTCTTGCTTACTGGAGAGAGAAGTGAGCACTATGTGTGTATTTGGTGTTTTTAACTGTTAGGCTCAATTTCAAAATTTACTATCCTTCCTGATAGTTACTACTTTTCTTCTTTTGATAAAGACCTTCTCTCAAACATCTTACTTTTCCTGTAATTCATGAAATAATTATGTGTCTTACTGGCCAAGGCCAAGCAAGTTTCTTTGGTTCAATAACTGTGTCTACAATAACAGAACATAATTCTTTGCTATATGTCTGACGTTTTTCAAATTCATTAAGCAGTATTCTGCACATGTGCCTATTACACAAGAGGGCATTAAATAGGTGTTCCCTAACATGCTGTTCCCTAAATAGGCATAAAGTTAAGCACCTGCTTATATTCTTTCCTTAATAACTGTTACTGATGTTTACTGTTAGTTACTGCCTACATTTATTAGAAAACACGTAAGAGCTTGAAATATTTTTTGGTATCCATGCATTCACTGACTGATAAAAGAGATACAGTTACAGCAAACCTTTCGTCTTCCTATTTCCTGTTAGTTAATGAAAGGAGTGTTTGCATTGAAGCGCCTGGTACCATTTAGACCTTACCTGGGTTGAAATCAATTTTTTAAAATCAATTCTCAGTTTTGTTCAATACCTGATATAGTTACATAATGATCTTAACAATGTCACAGTATTTTTTTACTATTGTCTTTCTAGTTGTAGCATTTGAAAATTCAGAAATCATTTTGTTGAGTAATGAGTAATTGCAGAAAATCTTCGTAATATATTTTGTTCTGTTCAAACTATTCATGGTCTGTTTCTTAGAAGTTGTTGTTGCTATGCTGTTTATGTATGTTTTTAAACAAAATATAGGTGTATTTACACAGCTGTATATTTGTTTAGGAAAGATGCATGTGTGTGTGTAAAAATGATTTGTTGTATGTTTATACATATATAAATTGGCATATTAACCTGATTTTTCTTTTTTCCTTTCCTACATATATGTTAGGACTTTTTCTGTGAGTTTAGTGAACAATCACCATGTGTTCTTTCAAGATCCCTGTTACAGGCAAGTCCTAATTATGTCTATTAATAAAATACTTATGTATTCATTATAAATTCCTGTTCTTTAAGTATTTTAACAATATTCATGTAAGTTAATAATAGTTAAGTGGTAGAAAGTGTTCTGGTGATATTTAAGTATTAAGTATTATGGAAGAAATGCTTTGCTATGAGGATGATGAGGCATGGGAAGAGGCTGCCCAGGGAAGTTGTGGATGCTCCACCAAGTGTTCAAGGCCAGGAAGGTGTCCCTGCCCATGGCTGGGGGTTTAGAAGTAGATTATCTTTAGTATCCATTTCACTGCCAACCATTCTGTGATTCTATATAGGGAGGCTTATGTTTTGATCTAATTTTTAAAATAATTTTTAAACACTGTTGCTTTGATCATTTTAGTACATGCTAATTAAAACAGAAATAATTTAATTTTTTTTTTCCTCCACCATAAAGCTGTGCCTGTACACACATTTTTATGCTTCTGTCTATGTGCTTTGCCATTTTGGGACTGGTATTTGTATTCATCTCCTTGTTTGGACAGAACTTAATGTACAGACTGCTTCTATTGCTACAACAGTAAAACTGATTGTTGGTGCAGAATAATATGGTGCCCCTAGATGCCAGAACTTCTTTACATTTGATCCCTATTAAACCATTTGTAGAGCCAATGGACTATAACTGTGGGCAAGTAAAATGTGTTCGTAGTGTGTATTTTCTCACCTTCCACTACATGTATTTGTGTAATCGCTGTGGGTGCCTGACATCAGAGTTTTTCCTTCAAGTGCTGAAGAGCCATATAAGAAAGGGACACAGCACTCATGGAGGGAAGTTAAATGAGTATCAGACATGACTGATGTAAGTAGTAGCATACAGAGGGATTGAAAAACATCAGCAGTAGTTTGGAGATATAGCCTTATGTGTGTCCAGAGAACGCTCACATTTTATGCTGATCTTCAGAAATGTCTGATTTATCATCCAAGAAATGAAACAATTTTGCATGCACTCTATTGTGCAAGTACTAGAGCTGTATGTAGTGTCCTGGGAATACCACAGAAGTGTCAGATCTCAATATTTCTGAGTCATTAACCTTGGACCTAGTTGAACCATTTTAATTCTTAAAGTAATCTTACAATTTTATTATATAAAAAAGTATTGCCAGAGCTTTCTATTAGTAATTCTAGAGCATTACTTTTAACTTAAAACATGTTTCTAAAAACACATCTTTACTTTTAGACAACTTTCCTAGTAGATAACAAGAAGGTGTTCGGCACTCATCTCATGCAAGACATGGTAAAAGATGCCTTAAGATCTTTCGTCAGTCCTCCAGTACTTTCTCCAAAGTAAGTGGATCTTGAATGTACTTGCATGTGTTTACATGTCTGATGAAAAGATATTTCTGCTTACAAGAGCAATGACAAACGTACAAAAACCATACATTTTGTACATAGTGCTTACGTATGAAGGACTCGGTTGCTGTTGCTGCAGTCAGGTTTCTTTTTTTGTTTTGTGCTACATAGACTGGTGGCATTTATAAAAATATGTATGTACATGGATATTTCCTTTTTAGGTGTTGTCTTTATAATAACCACCAGGCAAAAGACTATATTGATTCCTTTGTCACACACTGTGTTCGGGTAAGTGTTCTTTCCAATTATAACCTGTATGTGTGTGAGAACTTGGCAGATTTGCATACATTTGAAAATGAGACAAGTTATTTTACACACCTGACATGAAGGCAAAATTGAAGAAGTTGGCCATCTTAAATTGGTAATGCCTTTTAAAAATCCAGTGTAATTATTGCTGGTTTTCTTCTGCTTCCATATTTTTATTTAGCATTTCATTTATAAAAAATCTGCATGTACTACTTCTTTACAGAGTAGTTTCATGTCATAAATGCGTATCACTAATAAAAACAAAACTATTTTAACATTCTGTTCAGTTTCAGTTTTTTAAGATTCTGTTGTTGAATGTGGCATGATGAAAATCTCAACAAAATCAGAATTTAGGTTGGAAAATACCTCCAAGCTCATTGAGTCCAAACCAGCACTGCCAAGTCCATCACTAAACCTTACCCCTAAGTGCCATGATTACACATTCTTTAAATATTTCCGGAGATGGTGACTTAACTGCTTTCCTGAGAAGTGGTTCCAATGCTTGACAAACTTGATTGTGAAGAAATTTTTCTTAATATTCAGTACAAACATCTCATGGCACGGCTTGAGGCCATTTCCTCTTGTCCTGTCACTTGACAGAAGAGATGAGCCCCACCTGGCTGCACTCTCCTTCCAAGTGGGTGTAGAGAGTAATAAGGCTTCCCCTGAGCCTCCTTTTCTGCAGGGTAAAATAAAAACACCCCTAGCTCCCTCAGCCTCTCCTCACAGGGCTTGTTCTCCAGCCCCTTCCCCAGCTCCATTGCTCTGCTGTGGACATGCTCCCTCCGTGTCTGTCTTGTTGTGAGGGGCCCAAAAATAAACGAGATTTGAGGCAAGGCCTCACACACCAGTACTGAATACAGAGGGACAACCACTGCCTTGATCCTGCTGGACACAGTGTTTCTGATACAGGCCAGGATGCCATTGGCCACCTTAACCACCTGGGCACGTGGATTTAGGCATAAGAAATACCTCTTTAGCCTCAAGCATTTTGCTGTGGTGACCTTCCTAAAGGATGCTGACTTAATCTCACATCAACTTGTGTGCAGAGAATTTGGCTCTTGCATCACTCCATAGAGTTTGCTTTCCTGCTAAATCGCACTTTGTAGGGAGTAGTAAGGAACCCACCTCCTAATATAGATGTATAAACCAGATGCCTAAATAGACATCGTAGTACTTCTCCTGTAGTTTCGAAGTTGTTTTGGTAATTTAAAATTACACTTTGCTTCTTTCAGCCATTCTGTAGTCTGATTCAAATCCATGGACACAACAGAGCTCGTCAGAGAGATAAACTAGGTCACATCCTTGAAGAATTTGCCACATTACAGGATGAGGTAATGTCCTAGGCAGCAGGCCAGCAAAGTTTCTTTCCAGCTATATTACTGCCAGAGTGAAGCATGGTACTAAATTCTAAATGAATGATGGAAAATCCTTAAGGACTCCTAAAATTTAGCTTATTTAACAAGAAATTGTTAGAATGCATCCAAAAACTTTGTGCTACATGTGTTGAACAAAAACATACTACATTTTTTAAGATTAACTTTGTCCAATAAGTGGACTTCAGAATGACCTGTTGCGTTGTAATTTAATGGTAACTGCACAGCTTTTAGTCTCTATCCTGCCTGTGATTATCAGGCTGCAAGATGTAACCAGGGGGAGATAGACAAGGTGTGCTTACAAGACACCTTTGAAAATTCGGCCTTATACCTACATGAGATATAAACTGCAAAATTTTACAATTATTAAAAGGAAAGTTAAAAAATAACTCTTAAAAATATGTGCTGTGATATAAATAAAAATTATTTTGGACATCAAGAATGGGGAGAGATGAGAAGAAAGAATATATTCTCTCTTGCTGGAAGTAAGTTTCCTCAGCAGTGAGAGCCATATAATAATAAAATACTTCCCAAGATGTATTTGGCAAGGAGAACAGTTGAGGAACTTGGAGTTGGAGGGAGGTTTTGTGTGCACCAGCTTTCTTCAAGATGGTTTGAGTTTCTTGTAGTATTGTAGCTGAGGCACTGTTTTTTTCATTTTGTAGCAGGTTATATGGATTGTTCTGTTTAGGCTTTCTGATGATACTCCAACTCTGAGAGACTGTCTTCCATGTAACTTTCTTCTTAAGACAAAATTTGTCTTGGCAATATTTTAGTTACTCTGGTGGAACACAGTGTGTTTCTTGCACATAAAGCTTACAAAGTTATTTTTTCAATACAGCTAGGTTATTTTAAAAAAAAAAATAATTATTGCCAATATAGAACAATGAACAACAGCATGTAATGGGTTCTGAGTTTGTGCTCATGTGACTGCTAATGATCTATATACAAATACATTTAAAAATTACAAATTTTACCTATTTAATGTTCTTGCTATATTACTATGTAGAATATTTTTGTTCTGTGCAGCAGAATTTACTTAGATGACTCTCTTTCCAGTTTTCTGACAGTTCTAGACTTATTTCCATCTTTTAATATGGAGCATAAATCTACTGACCCAGTTTGTTAAGATTTTATGTCTGGCTTAGGGTGCTGTTTCACTCAAATATTTTTCCTCCTCTGTCTCTTACTTTGAGGACCTTTGTTTTTTTTCAACAGGCAGAGAAAGTAGATGCAGCGCTTCATAGCATGTTACTGAAGCAGGAACCACAAAGGCAACATTTGGCTTGCTTGGGCACCTGGGTCCTGTATCACAACCTTCGTATTATGATACAGTATCTTCTCAGTGGCTTTGAGTTAGAACTTTACAGTATGCATGAATATTACTACATCTATTGGTAAGAAGATGTTTTATTGACAGCTCTTTGAGGAGGGATGCTCCCAGAGAGCTGTAATTACACATACTAGAAGGAGGGACTTGAAATATGATTTTATGATCTCAAGCTTGATCACCATTGTGTTTGGTTTACCTATTTATGATATTACAAGTGGAGAAAAAAAAATCCATTGGTCTCTAGGTTTTTAAACTTACAAAATACTGTACCTTTTTTTCCTGAAATAGTAATTCTCACTTTTTGGCAGAGTGTCTTTCATTGACAATGAATGAAATATGTGTTGATTTTGGTAGACAAGAAGCATGCAGGAGAACAGCAATTTTCTTTATTCTTTTCTGCCTTTGCAGTATCAGAATCACTAGTCTTATTGATCTCTAGTATTCTGGAAAAGTTCTGCAAAGTTTTAAGTCAGAACTGTAATCTGAAAGTTGACTAGCTAAAATTAACTTCTTTTCTGTGGTATATTTGAAGAGACATCCTCCACCTTTCACATTAGTGAAAATGATTATATTATCTGGAAACAGAATACTTTTATTTTTCCACTTCTATTCACATTAATTATTTTCCATAGTTAATGGCCTGTGTCGAAAGAGAATTAAAAAAAAAATTCTAAACTACCAAGAGATTCCTATGTAAGTCACAAGCCTTCTTTTAATCTGAAAGATTAAAACAGTGCAAATGGCACAAACTTCAATGCATCGCATTTCTGTGTTGCTTCAATAGTGGATTAAGTGAAGAAATTAATATTTCAGAAGTTACCAGAAGATGGCAATCTTTTTCAATTAGTAACTCAATAATACCAACTTTTGTATAAGACATTATTTTTTTTTTACCTGCTCGTGTTTCCCTCTACCATTTTAATAAAACCACTCTTAGTTGCAATTGTCATGTCAACTGCTTTCTCAAGGGAAAAAAAAGGAGAAGCAGTTTCTGAGAGGTAATGTGCAAATGAAACTCAAATTTCTCAATAATTTTTCTTCTGATTAAAATTTTTTATAACTATTACTGAATTTTTATTGTGCTCCAAATCTGTAAATTTTTTTTCTATTCTTTTTCCCTATTACTTTTGATTTGATGTCAAGTAAGATATTTATTGGACTCACTTCCACTTTCTAAAAAATGTTCTTAAAGTTTTCTCTTTAACTGTGAAGGAACTGTATATGGATATTGTGTGTCTGTGGGCTTGGCCCCTTTATGCAATAACTCACAGCTTTTTAATGCTTGAAAAAGTCAGTAGTTGTCTTGTTTCTCAGATTAACAAGTCATAACAAAAGTAGAAAAGGTAGTAACATAGTATCTTTAAAAAAAACCCCCACTTTGATTTGGTGGCGGAAGAGTTCTAGAAAAATTTGGTCTTACAGGAGTTTTGAAATAAGAAGCTTAGACTTCAGTTAGTAAATGTGTAAGAATCTTGCATACCTTGAGCTGTTTGTGGTTGAATCTGAACCAGAACACGAATGAAGACCAATGTGTTGATTCCAGCCATGCAAAACAGTTTTCATGGCCCGTAAACACTGTCCTTTGCTAGGACATATCCTTTACCGCTTGGAGCAAGTGCCTTGGTACTCGGCGGGACGCGCGCAGCACAAGTGCGCGATGCGCTGCAGCCCATAACCGCTCCATACGGCTTCTGTGCAGGTACCTGTCCGAGTTCCTCTACGCCTGGCTGATGTCAACGCTGAGCCGTGCTGACAGCTCTCAAATGGCAGAGGAGAGGATAATGGAGGAACAACAGAAAGGCCGTAGTAGTAAGAAAACAAAGAAAAAGAAGAAAGGTACCTAGGTGTAGAGTGTTAACACACCTTTTTTTTCCCTTTCATGCAGCCATGTAGAATTAAAATTCAAAATTTAAACAGGCAACACTGATATGGGTAGGAAAAATATCCTAATGTTTATGAAGGCTGAATGTAAAACTTTTTAAGAATTCCTATTTAGTTAGTTTTTTACTTTCAAATAGATCTTTCAGAAAAACACAAACTCATTTATATTCACCGTATATAGTTTCTTCAGTTGTGTTATGTGTTGGACCATCTCAGAGTTTATAATGCCTGCAGAATTATGCTTTTAGTGACTGTAACTAGATTCAAACACTAGACTTGCAGCATATTTCTGTAATTTCTGTTTGGCTTTAGAGGTTCTTAAAACCTGTTTCTTAATGATACAGTGGTGAGTTTCCCTTTCTTTTCCTTGCCACCTTTTCAAGGGGAACAAAGATATGAACAGCTCAGGTATGAACAGCTCAGGATCATATCAACTAAATTCCCTTGTCTCTAGAAGTTCAGAAAATTACTAATATACTTGAAATGCCAAGTGTTGCGAAGTTTGGCACTAATTAAACACTGGAAACTAAAGGGAAACTTAAAAGAATGCTGTCAAGATTATTTGGATAAGAAGTGCTTTAACAACTTAGCCGTAGAAGTTAAAAAGATCCCTGAACTAAGCCTCTTGCATGCGGACTGTAAGTCTGAGGCTGTTGTTGAGTGTTTTATAAAGTCACGGGAATACCACTGACCAATTTATTCCACTGAGAGGAAAATTGTGTTCATGTAACTGGCAGGTGTGTCCTAAGAGTAACCAGGAGTCAGGTGAGCAGAAATGCATGTCTAGGCTTTGTATACTTCAGTTATTTTAAAATATAATTAAGAGTTCTTTGACTTTGTGGAAATTTGGAAGAACTCCGCTGATCTGAAATTAATACATGTACTTACACTGAAGTAAGAAAATGTATTTTTTTGTAAAATTTGCAGTTCGCCCTCTCAGTAGAGAGATCACCATGAGTCAAGCATACCAAAATATGTGTGCTGGGATGTACAAGGTAATTCACTTGTGTTCTATTTGTTTCAAATTTTTTTGTAATAGGGATCCTGCATCCATTGCATGTCTTCTTTTTTTGTAGTGGTACTGGAAATTAATTTCAAATTTATAATTTTCTATGGTAAATTCTGTACGGTTTTTCTATCCTTCCAGTTACATCTACGTCATCATTTTGATCTACCTCACAGCAAAATGTGACATAAAGCTATTACTTTTCACTATATTTATCTTTTTCTTTTAGACAATGATTGCCTTTGACATGGATGGCAAAGTAAGAAAACCTAAGTTTGAACTGGATAGTGAACAAGTTCGATATGAGCACAGATTTGCTCCATTCAACAGTGTTATAACACCACCTCCAGTGCACTACCTGCAATTTAAAGTGAGTAATCTTCAAACGTGGTGCTGCCCATGCTTTTACAGAAGACATTCACTCACTCGCTTTAAACACTGTCATGGTCAAAAGAACCTCAAAGTTCACACTGAAGCTATGTCACAATGGCAAGGACTTCCAGCTTTAGTTTTGTGCAAGATATGTTCCATTGAAGTCTTTATAAACTTAGATGTTTACCAGTTGGTCTGATATGGCAGTTTAAGATGGTTCCGTTGAGTTGCATGAAAATAAAATCTCTTGGAAGTCTATTAACAGACTTCTTGGCTGTGGTTAATTACAGCAGCGTGTTTCTATTAGTGCAGCAAGCAAATGGAAAAATAAAAAAGTTTTGAGTGGTGTTTAGAAGGGACCAGTGGAGGCTTGTCTTGTCCAGCGCCCTTCTTGAAATAGCATTATAAATCACATTACCTGTGTCTTTGTCTAGACAAATCTTAAAGTCAAGGTTGGAAATTTTCCAATGTCTTTGGTTAAACCTGATCCGGGTTTTTTTTTTTCTGGTCCTTTAAGTCATAGGATAACTGAGGGCTGTGCTATTTTTTTTCCTAATGCCCAGTCTAAATTACCAAGCCACAATCTGTGGCCTCTCATGTTACATTGTTTGTTATGTTACATTCGTTGTCATGAACAAGGAATCTTTATCTTCTGACAGCTTTGTAACTGTCTTTCAAGTAGTTGTAGGCTGCTGTTAAAATTACCCATTAGCATCCTTCCTGTAAAACTGAAAATGTCCAGGTCCACTGACCTCTCCTTGTGGCTTACATGCTCTAGGCCCCCAACCATCTCCACATCTCAACAACTTTCCTGAACTTGAGTGGATCCAGCCCTGGATGCAGTATTTCAGATAACAGAACACAAAAACTTAGTTCAGGATGATAACCTTCCTTGATATGCTGACCATACTCCTGCTAGTATAATCCCATATGAGGCTTGTCTGATTTGTAGTAAGACCACCTTGCTGGCTCATATTGAACTAGATGTTTGCAGTACCCCTGGCTGCTCATCCAGATGGTCTCACTTGTGGGGTTAGTCTCTATGGAAACAGTGCTATTTTCTATTCCAGTTACTCTCCCCAGTTTAATGTTATAAATTGTTGTAGTGGTAGTTAAGAAATCATCATGGTCTTGTCATTAAAGGTTTTTTTTTTAATCTGTAATCAAGAACAAAAAAATTTGAAGAATTAAAATTATATAAAATGAAGTTTTGTAGTTTCAGCATCTGACTTGCTGTAGCTTTGAGTAAACAGTGTACTTTTTATATCTACTTTTTTCCCTGTAATATCATACCCTGTTGTGTGCCACTATTAAAGCAAATGAGTGGTGACTTGTTCAAGAGAGAGACTGTTTCTCATTATGTTTCATTATGCTCACTGTAATACTTGAGCACTGTGTTATTGCTTGGGTTTTGCCATTTTAAGTAAATATTTCCGACTTCAGTTTTGATTTTTTCAATAGTATTTAGTTGACATGTCTCTTGAATACAGTAATGTGACAAAAACAATCTCCTGGCAATTTTTAGTTTTAATTTTATATATTTTAATATGTATTTGTTTTTCTCTAACACACTAGGAAATGTCTGATTTAAATAAGTATAGCCCACCTCCTCAGTCATCAGATCTCTACATGGCAGCTAGCAAGCACTACCAGCAAGCTAAAATGATTCTTGAGAATATTCCGAATCCAGACAATGAGGTAAGACTGAAATACTAGGAAAACGAGTATTTGCTCAAAATACAGTAAGTGGTTTCTTCAGCTGAATCTTCTTGAGATCCAAAACGTACTTCATCAAAATGGTGAGCAAAGTTGAGTGCTTTGATTAAGGAGTAGACAGTGGTCTGTTTCAATACATCAGCTAGCATAAAGTTGTGCTCGCTGTTAAAAAAAAGCTCTCTCTGCTGAGGACCTGAGATGCTGGATAGCAGCTTATTTCCTTGCATGTTGCCTTCTAAAAGCACAGCACTTTTAACCAGACAGTGAAAACATGCCTGTCATGCTTAGTTGGCATCTAGTAATTCAGGTGGACTCCTGAGAGGTGAGGAAAATAGGTTTGAATACCATTATGATGAAAAGAGGATTGAGTTTGGCACTTGTTCCCTGGAGCAGTTTTCTCAGCACTGAGCTGTAAACATGGGTAGCAATTTCTCCCTCTGTCCATAGCCTAAAACCTTAAGTGTCTGTGACTGTATTTTGGAGCAAGAAGAATGCTTTTGCTGTCACATCTAAGCAGATTAAGAATAGTTACAGCATTAGATTCTTCTGAGAATTTAGGACTCACTTTTTCCTCTCTGGATCATGGTGGTACTCACACATGAGCTGTCTATTTGAGGCCAAGATAGTTAAGAGGTAGTTTTGAGCACATACAGAGCACCTCCATGCAAAAAGTCACCAGTTTCATACATGAATTCCTCTTACCATTGTGTTGCAATGTTGAAGATTAGATGCCTAGAGTCTATCTATACCTTTATTTGTGTGGGTGCCACAGAACTTGCTGTAGTTCCCAAGTTTTTATTCAAGAATTGTTAAAGCTGTGGTTTCTGTGGCCTGTCAAATTTTTTAAAAAGTGACTATTAAGATAAATGCATCCTTCATTAAATTTAATTAATTCAGCTGTTGTATTTAAAAACAAATCTGAAACAGTCTGATCTCTGTTAAACAGATCCTGTAAGAAAACTCCTGTGTTGCTAATAGGATATCAACATTACAGTATTATCTTTGAAATAATTGTGAGGTCAAATGCTTTGACTTGAAGACTTCCTTCTGATTTATGTTTAGGTCAATCGAATTCTAAAAGTTGCAAAACCCAATATTGTGGTCATGAAGCTGCTGGCAGGAGGCCACAAGAAAGACTCTAAGGTAAGGAAATGCCAGCTCAATTAAACGTAAAATGTAGTAATACATACATTAAGGTTGGATTCAATGATCTGGAGATTTTCCAACATGAATGTTTCATCTAATTCTGTGTAAAGCCACCACAGATCTCTTAAGAGCCAAATGAGCACATTCAAGCTGTAGTTACTCTAAGATCAGGGCAAGTAACTTAATTTATTTTTCCCCTGGAAATAGTTTGTTGTAGTTAACTAAATATGGAAAATTCTAACCTATAAGTTTTGAGAAAAAAAATTGGGAAAAGCATGTTGGACAACATAGAATATAAGGGTATTCTTCAATAGCGGGAATAGCAGCTTGTGTGAACAAAGTTATGAGAGTGCTGTCTGCCACAAGGACAGTGTTCTTTTAGTCTATTGCTGTTTAATTTTTCTTTTCTGTCTGCAGGTTGTTCTCATAATGAGTATTAAATGGAGTAGTACTGCTGTCTAATATCTAATCTTAAATCATCTTTATAGGTTCCTCCAGAATTTGACTTCTCTCCTCACAAATATTTCCCAGTTGTGAAGCTTGTTTGAAGTACAAGAATTTTTTTAGAATACCTGAAGAATATCTGTGTAGCAGATACCAGCTCTAGAAGAGGGAATAACTAGTGCTGCACTCGGACTACGAGGGACATCCAGGATAAAAATACTGTAACATGGAATATCTGTAGTCTGCTGCCTTTATGTGATTTGAATGACAACTGCTGTTTTAAAGTGGTTTGTATAAAGTTTATTGGATTTTGTGCGTGAAACTGATTTTAATCAACTGTATTATTAAAGATAAGTTGTATCTTACTTGATATTATTACAGACTTTAATCATAAATAATTTTTATTACTGTGTTCTGACAAAGTGGTGCATTAGGAACTGAATAAAAATCATGCAATAGAGCCTCATGTTTGATGTGCACAGCTAAGCTACTGCAATTCTGCATTTACAAAGTCACTTGGAGAAATTTTGAGTTTCTATATTTTTGTTTAATTGTATCAGAATTGCTCACTTTACAAGTAGAGAAATGTTGGGATTTTTTTCCTCACTACATCCTCCAAGCTAAAATGATCTCTATGGAGAGCAAGAGCACATGAAAATTAGTCACTGAGCAATTGAGTGAGTGATTCCTAGCTGGATATTTGGAATTTGTTCCTTTGTCTTTGTTCTCCAAGTGCTGGAGCATCTGCACAGCAGACACTCCAGTAGTCATTAGCAGTAGCACCAGACACTGAAGACTCTATTTTACCAACTCTGCAACTTTGTTACAATCCTAGTATTTGCTCGTGCAAACAAAGGATTGCTACATTTGCATGATCTTTATTCTCCATTTTTGACTGCAATTGGGCTGCTGCATCCTGTTGTCTTCTGTAGTAATTTTCAGGTAGATTTCCAAAACAGGAAAAGCCCCAAACGTATCCTTGCTTTCCTGGAATAGTTATGCCTTCCAAGCTTTCAGATGTGAAATAACCAAGGTAAGCTGTTGTGTTGTAGCAAAAGAGCAACCAAAGAAAAAATGATTGTCCTTTGCTACAAGCAAGGAAAAACTGTTGAAAAAAGCAGACCTGGCCCTGGCCAAGTCATACGTAGGCCATACAAGCAAATCCTTTGTTGGACACGACAATTCTTCATTTTGGTGTACAATGACTTCCACTGTAGGGATGAGCTTGTAACTCCATATTGGCCATACAAGACATTTTTTGGTGTTAATCCCATCACCTGATTTTACTGTGAATTAGTATCACTTCAGCTTCATCCCCTGAGCAGCAGCACTGCCGAGCTAGAGCTTGAAAACAATGAGTAACCTCTGAAGTGGAACACCCACTTGTCTTCCAGCAATTTGCAGCTTCCTGAAATAAGCCAAAGTACTGTCTTGAAGACATGTTTTTTCCAAATTCTCTGCTAACAAGATGGTATATCACATTACATGTTTGCTTATCATCGTGATTAATATATTTGAATGCTTCCATATAGCTGCCAAAGAAATAAAAAGCCTGGAAGATGTAGAGGTAAAATGGCACAGAACATTCATCTGGCTTCTTGTAAATAGTCACAAAATCTTTCTCATCTTAAAGATCCTGAACTACATGACAGTAGCTCAAGGACAGCCTTGGTTATTTCTCCAAAGCAAGCAGCAAGTAAAAGACAAAGCAAATCACATGCGATTTGCGGAACCAAGAAATTAGCAATAATAATATTTCCCCTTTTCATTACAATTAGAACTGGATGAATTGTACAAAATAACATCAGTACACTAGAGAAGATTACTTTTAAATGCTGACCTAAAATGGATTAAGTTTAGTTGTAAAGAAAACCAAACCTAAGTGCTAATATACCACCAAGATGATTAGAGAAAAGTAGTAATGCCTCACCCAGCTAAAAACTTTAGTGAGAGACAACACTATGTACACCACAGTTCCGAATTAATCTCTTTTAATTCTAAAATTCTGTACAGTAGACATATAGGCTCTTGCCTACTAGAAATTGACTGCCCAAATCAGATTGAAGCACTTGAAGTCATCGTGAATAGAATGCATTCCTTCATTTTGAACATTGTTCTTATGCATGTTTTCAGACCCTTTGCCCTCAGAGGTTTACAAGTCTGCTTTGTACAGAGGTGGTCATATTTATGGAGGACAACATCCAGCTGGCTAGGAGAAGCCTAAAAATGTACAGAAGCATAGCCAAAACAATTAGTTTTAAAATAATCCTCTGCCAATATATTAATTACCTTTAAGTGTTTGATTCTTTGGAATTTTTAACTTGATACTGGTAAAACTATTCATTCAACTTGAATATAGTGTTTCACTGTCTATTTTTTACTGTTAGAATATATGCTTTTTAACAATCAATATTAAATTCCTGATCAACTTAAATCTCAGCTGCATAATTGTTTACAGATTAAGTCCTAGGAAAATGCTCAGAAAATGGGTAAATATTTTTATCCAAATTATGGGTAAACACTTCGATGTTCAAACATGTCATTACTTGCAAAAAAAAAAAAAAATCCCAGTAACCTGAGTTTCCCAATACTTGCCAAAAGAGATGCTCATTCCTATTCTGTCCTGTTTACAAGCATGTTTTCCCTGCTATATTGACTGTAGTAGACCAGACCAGTTAGGTCTTACTTAAATGGTGAAAAACTGTTAATGAACTGTTTCTGTGTTTAGGCTTAACAAGTATCTTTTGACTTAAACTCTAACCTTCATTTGATGACAACTATCTTTTCATATCCAAAAGAACCGGCTTCATCTTAAGGTACAGGAGCTATAAACTAGTACACTGAAGAATGACACAGCACAAAAGGAGTTACAATGTGAAGTGCTTTAACGGAAAGCAAAGCAAAATTTCTTAAATGGAATGCTGGTTGGCAAGATAGTCACAGCTGTCTGGCTGCTGTGCTGTATCGACAGAGGCTGGTTCACACTCATAATGTTCCAAACACAGGGGTCAGTCTTGGGAGCAGACACAAATATAAAAATTTCTTCAAACCAGCTGGTTATACATGGTGGTTGGACTGCAGTTAAGGGTGCCTTTGTGGTAAGTAGAGGGAATTTTGTAGCTCACAGCAAGTAAAATAGTTTTTAGTTTACATTTAACAAGTTACAGAAAAAACTGCAGAACATTAACAAGATGATACATTGTGATTAACATACAACTTCACAACAACTAAAGCTTCACCTGTGGTAGACACTGCCTTGTCTTCTAAATGCATAATCTGGTTACCTCCTGAAGTCCAGCAGAGAAGATTAGTCACACTGAACAGCTGAGATCGCTGTTGTACAAAGCAAGCATTTGCATTCTTCTGTTTTCACAAAAGACAATGTCTGGGTGGAGTAAAGGGTAGTTGTAGCACACCATTTCAGAGGGCTTCTATCATGAAAAGTTTATGAGTTTGAATTTTTACGCTACACTTGTGCCCGGTAGTGGTAACCAAGCCAAATTGTAGTACTGACCTTGTGGAATCCAACAAAGCTTTCAGAAAAATCTTCCTGGCTAATCTCTTAGCAAGAAGCTTCTATTTTCAGAATCCTTTTTGTTTTTTTGGTTTTTTTTTTAACTTTGAAGCTAATACACATCTCAACAGTGTATTGTAGGAATTTAATTTAGAGGCCCAGGTACATACATCATTCTGCATAGTATCTGAAGACTACAATTGTGCTTTCTCAGTCTGTGTTGCAGTAAAAAAGAGCCAGAACAGGCACAAGGATAGACTGCAGCATGGACTAGTTTTCATCCTTCCCGTGTTTTGTTGCAGTAACACACCCCCTTAAATTCTTAAAACTAAGCCAGGGATTTCTCTACTGTGCATTGCTCAGCAGAGAGATCCATCCTTGTCAGAGGACTGCTCATCATCTGCCACCAATCCACACATAGGCTTACTGAAGTATGACTGTACAAGGTAGCCAACTTCAAAGTTACTAATTTTATTGCTACCTGATTGCAATTTTATAATTGATAGGAAGGAGAAAGTCATTGCAGAGGCCAACTGCTTTGAAACAAGCCTCCAGAGATTTACTTCTTCTCACTGCAACAGTACTAAAACTTCACAAGAAAATACTACTTCGTTTGGGCCCTTAGTCAAGCCTTTAGAAGATAATCAAAACCTTCTAAGATCACTTTACTGGATCATTGCTGCATTTGGAGGAAGAGGTGATTCAGTTGTAGCATGAACTTCCTTTGTTCACAACTTCTGTCGTCCTTCACCATCGTCAGGTAAGTGGTTCTTTGTATCTTCATGGTTTTGAACTAATGAGGGGGAAAAAAGGAAAAGGTACAGAAATCTCTTAAGAGGCAGTAGTTCTTCATATAGAAAGTTCTATCTAGAAAACAAGAAATTTTGTAAAAACTGTTAAATACTATGTAGTACAGTAAAGATATAGATACCAAGTAATGAGTAGGTTCAATGGTGCTAAAGAGAAAATAGGTCACACTGTAAACATGGAGGGAAGTTCAAAAAACAAACAAATTAGCTAGGTATCACTTGCTCCAGGATACCATGCAAAATATGATCTTAACATTTTAAGCACATTTAGGTTAAAACTGGGGTTTTTTCTTTCTTACCATTTTCACTCCCAGCAAATGCTGCTTGCTTGTCAGTTTCTGATTCAGCTTCATTCACATCTAAATTGTAATCGACATCCTTGACCTGGTTCACTGCTTCACGCTCCTGTTTGTCTGCAAGATTAAAATTAAGTCATTTTATGCTATACCATCTGCACACAAGAAGAGTGACTGTAAACATCTTCCACAGAATTACGTTGCTGCTGAATGAATTGCTTTTCTGAGTAGGTTATTATATTATTTTTTCTTTGAAGTGTTAATTTTCAGAGCAACTTTGGCTGTAAATCCTGCCAAAGTAGATAAAAGATAATCTTTTGGGATTTGGAAAGCATAGCAAAATCAGCTAGCACTCTCATGAATATAAAGAGGAGGCATTGCACAATTTCAGAATACACTGAATGACAGCCTAAGGAAGGGCAAAACCTGAAGCAATTTCTGAAAATCTCTTCTTTTTTTAGCTTGTCCATACAGCAGAATGCTATAGCGTAAAGTGTTATATGATGTGCCAAGTTGTCACAAAAGTACTTTTCTCCCAGAAGATTTCTTCACCCAGCCATTAACTCCTCTCAAGCAACATTTATTGACTATCACATTTCTTTAGACAGAGGACTCAGACACAAATGGAAACATTTCTGATTGCCAAACTACTATCCTTATTTTTCAAATAATGAACCAGAAAAGAAGGTAACAGCAGAGAGGTGTAAACCTCACTTAAGATGGATCACAGCCTCTCTTCTAAATGTTCTGAAGACAAACCTTCCAGTTAGTAAGTGGCTAAGAAAGAGGCTTGAAAATTTTAAGCCTTATGTCATTCATGTTCAGACCACCACATCCAATAGATTTTTATAGTTATAGACCTAAATGTCTAAAAATTTCAGAAGCAGCTCTTCTTGAAAGAGGATGCCGTGGACTATTGAAGAAGTCTTTCTACCTTAAGCTCCTTTGGCTACAAGGAACCTGTGCAGTAAGGTTGAATAGTAAAGCCTGAAGAACATCCTCCTAGCCTTTTTATCTCACAGAAATGCAAGCCTTTGAAACTGAGTTTTCATGGGCTGCAGATTTTTCCTTGCACTAATTGTTGGATGATTTTTTAAAAATCTAATATTTCTGCTATTTACTTCCATGAAAATTAAAACAGTTTAGGTAACTTGTAATTACATCTCTTTGGTGTATAGCCTGATCTGGCCAGTATCTTTTTGGACCAGTTGGAAAAATACTGCTTTAGCAATGCAGATGAGATTATTTATCCCTGCCAAGTTAGCAACAATACTAACACTGAAACTCAAAATTCTAATGATGTGTTTACTAGAAAAGCATAAACAGCATTTTTTGTGGGCATCAATTCCTGCTCTGACTGCCATAAGGCTGCCTTTTGATTACTTTGGGCTACTGACACCAAATCTCTCAAGACAGAGGAATGTCTAGACATTGGTTAGGTTTAGCCACAGTATCAATACTCTTCTGCTTGGTGCTGTTGAGATGTGTAGCTCAGGGTCACTTGATAGATGCCAGAAACTGGCACCTTTACAATATCTGATCCATGTTTTTGAAGACTCACAACAGTAAACTACAGATATCTGAAGTCTGAGTTACCAGTTTGACTCATGGTAGCTTATTTTGAAATACGAATAGCTAGTATTCACACACTGACACTGTAAAAAGACTAACTGCAAAACATCCACACTTAAGTGGTCTACTCATCAATGCTTCGGATGATTAATATCTCATTCTTTTCAGATGCATCACATTCTTTTAAAGCCACAATACCAAAAAGTTTTGGGGTGAATTTCCCTAAACACTTTGTAGAGCCACTGGAGAGACAGTAGGGCTGTTAGGGTGATGCAGACAAATTCAGCTTGGCAGCTTCATGTTGCACAATCAGAAGCTTCCATCTTTAACTCATGGATTGTAGGTGACTGCTTGGGACTGACACCTTCCATATCACATTGGCCTTTATGAAAACTTGTACTTAGTCTGGCCAGCTTCCACCACTGTTGTAGAAATCATGCCCTATTCCACACTTTCATTCCTTTACTTTTCATCTTGTTACTGTTTTTAACAACACATGACATGCTACAAACCAGCCTTTCCAGGGAGCAAGTCATCCTGCTTATCATCGTAATTTAGTAACTGTTCCCTCTCAACTTCCTCACTGGCAGCCTGCTCTGCTGCTGGCTCTGACATATCTTGCCCAGCTACATGTTTCTCATCCTCAGGTGGATTTGGGTCCTTCTCTGACACAGGCAGCATCTCCTTGTGGCCTGCAGCAGCCTTGAGCGACTCTTGAGGTTTTTCCAACTGATTAGAAAGCTGCTCCTCTTCTGCCTTAGGCTTCTGTTTTCTCATGTCTGTTAGGCTGTCTGTTCTTTCTGAAAACAACAAAAATGATTCTGAGTTTAAAAAAAAAATGCCTTCCAGTGTGGCACAAGTTAAAAACCTTTAATAAAGAATGCTTTATATTTCTCACTAAATTATTGGTTTTCCCCTGAAAGAGTATCTTCCAATACCAAAGGTAAGTACCAAAGATAAGACAACTTGTGTTTTTCCTACTGGGAACAGCTAAATAAGGGAATTATATTTACTGTCAACAGATCCATGCTTCTATATCCTTAAAATATTGCTATGTGTGGTTAATAAATTGGGCAAGTGAAACAGAGAAGTTTAAATAGAAATTGTGGTGACCTGTATAAGCATTAGGTTTCTGTGTGTTACATGTCATTATCAACAATAAAATTGATTTGGGGTTCAAAAGTAGCTCAGGACACAGCATCACATAGGCAGATTTGCAAGTATCCAAGCCGGTTCTTGTTCAAGAGAAGGAGTACTATAATTTTTAGTTGACATTAACATATATCTTTTCACACGTATCTGCATTTTTAATTTTAAAAATGCATGAAATTTCTCAACTAAACTATATGTAGATGCTGTCTTCAGCTGCTAGCTCTCTAAAATGAGAGCTGCATGCTCACAAGATTGTAATTTAAAATCGCATGTAAGAGTAAATAAATTTAAGAATTGAATTTCTGTCACACACACTACTATGCAAAACAAACATACAAGGATACATCCATTCAAATTAATAGTTTCTGAAGTTTAGTGCCAAAAGGAACCATTAGGCTAACTAACCTAAACCCATGTGTATCATTTCTCACACTTGCATTTTGCTCAATGACAACACATGGGAAGTATGGATGTGTGTTTGTTGTAAGCCTAACTCTCACCTATTCCACGGGGAGGAGGGGTACCAGGCTGAATACGTCAAACTTACTAAGAAAGCAAATTTTAAGTATGCTTGAAAATTATTCCTTCCAAAAGTTGGGTATTTTCTCCATATTAAATGAGGAAGATGACTCCAGAATTGTAAATATTTCTATTTTCTGCTGTGTGGAACATACCTACTACAACAAAACAGCACCAACAAATCTGAGTAAGTTTTCCTTCAGCTGGAAACCCGACTGATGTTCAGACTGTTGGTGTCACTTTTTTCATCCTTATCTGGTGTACAAAAATGTTCCTAAATGTTCAGTTGAAAAACAACCAATCTTAACCAGTTGTTAGTCAGACAAGGATTTCCACCTCACCTTTAGCCTGCATCAGGTCTGTCTTTTTTACTGTAGGTACTGCTTTAGGAACATCTTCATTTGTTTTCTGCTGTTCCAAGTCAGCCTGCTTGAACCCTGTTTGCTTCAAGGCTGGCAGTTGAGTATCAACCTGTAAAGTGAATGCAGCAGATAAGCACTGGTCTATATAACTGCACCTGGATTTGGAAAGGGAAGTAGAATTTAGGTAAGAATTTTGCATGGCGAAAAAAATCCCAACACACTCGGAAATATTTGGACTGAAATTTTTATTGGTAATAGATGTACTGTACAATTCTGAATATGCATTAATGTTTCTATATAACAGCATCAGGAGAATTTTAACATAACTTATTTAACTGCAGCTAATGATGAGATTACTGTCCTTGGTTATTCTCAGAGTGTTACAGAACTGTAACACCATGTTTATCCACTGTTGTTCTGCAGGGTCAGCAGAGCAAATAAACAGATGCCATTTACTATTAATAGTCTACAGGGCAAGAAAACTGAATTTGGTCATCATTAGACATCAGCTGAGTAAGGCTTGTATAGAACTGGTCTGTAACTATATTAAATGCAGGATTAAGAAAAGTGCAAAATAACCAACTAGAAAATAATACCTGCTTAACATGATGGAGATGCTTAAGAATGTACTAAATTCTGGTGCTAGACTGCTATAAGTATCTGACCCTCTTAGATATTAAGCCTAAGATATACACCATCTTGAGGATCTTCCAACTGGGCAATTAAAATTTTATGTATGACTGTACTTACCTTGGCATTGGCTCCCTCACATGGCCATGGTCTCCCTGTATGTCAGAGTTGGCATGTTTGCCTACCTGAGACCTGCTTCCATCTCCTCCCTCTCTCTAGATCTAGTGGCTGGCAGTCCTGAGCTTGGTGCCGTCCCTGTCAGTGAATCCCCTCATCTATTGCATGTGGAACAGGGAGCTCAGGAATGCCATGTCACCACCCCTCCATAAATTACTCCCAGACTACATGAATTAAGTATTTGGGAGAGTAGGTTTGTACTATATCTCTTGAGAGACACAGGACTCAACTTATGATTCACCATTAATTCCAGGTGAAAATGAAAGATGGTCAGTGAACTGAGGGATGTACCCAGGGGCTTTCACACAGGTGAAATTAAGAACACCCATACTGAAGGAGGGGAATCTGGAGCTGCCTGTAGAGAATGGTGATTCTCTGCATGTTTCTGGAGTTGAGTGAAGGTAGAAGAGGTTTGAAAAGATGGGACGCCCATGCTTCCCCTAATGTAGCCCTATGGTTCATATGGTACCCCTTGAAGCACTCAGGCTCTTCTATTCATGGTCATTGCTCATGCAGTCAAGACCCTGCTTGCCCTGATATATGGAGTTACTCTTTCCCCACTGTCATCTTAGAAACACTAAATGAGGGTGTAAAGCCAGGGCCAGTGGGGAAAGAGCAGAGCTGAGCTGTTTGTGCATGAATTTCTGGGAACGAGCAAAGAGAAAGACTTGAGAGGAAACCCATTTGTTCTATGGGGATTTTTTGGTTGCATTTTTGGTTTTTGTTTCAAAAAAAAAAATATGCAGAGAAAGAACAAGCATATGCACATTCAGAAATACAAACCTCTTTGTGTCTGGTATCATACGAATGACTGGGCAATCTTATAGTACAGGAAGTCTCACAGTTGACAGTATTGTTTTCTGTTACCAATTGTCATTGGTACTGTCAAGACTGTAGCTTCCCATTTATCTAAGGAGGGCAGTAAAACACTATGTTGTCAAATATTGATTCAGTCATTTGGAAAAATGACCACAGACAGAAGTATGTAAGTCACCAAGAAACCAGAGTTGCAGCATGACTACTTGGCTGTTTTGAAAAGCATTTAATTTCCATCAAAGCCAGGCAGAACAAGATCTTTTTGTGTCAACACCATGAAGCCCAGTATCAGCAACTAATCTAGCATTAATGCTTGATAAGCAAATGTTACTGCAGAATATTTGGTTAGTGCAGTAAAGATATTCAGAAGAACTCCATCTTCCTTCAATCAGTAAAACAAAAATGCTGTATTTAAACATGGTTCTGTTCTGTAAATATTTTAGCTCCTTAAGATCACTCTCTATAGTAGAAGTCATCAGAACCTGAACATAAGACTTTTTGCGCTTTTTGTTGGGCATGAATTCTTCTGCAAAAATACTGAGCCTGGACTTAACAGCAAGAAGTTACCTATTAATTACACATGCAAAATCCCTTTACTTACCTTAAATTTCTAGCTAAGTAATTCTTAATGTCAAATAGATTCAAAAGGTATATGCTGATTTTTTTAAAAATTTAAGTAGTTGGATAAAAAGATAGTAACTGAACATGCTGTATTTTCTTCAGCCAAGAAGTATACATTATTCTTCAAATTACAAAGCTCTAAATAAAGCTGTTTAGTTATTAACCAAGCAACACTCCATTTTCTTTCTGTTTTAAGACAGATTTTTCTATTACATAAGCACATACATCTTAAAAATAGGAATTACTCCAGCTTAAAACACTGGACAAAAACATACATAGATTTGTCAGGGTCATCTTGCACTAACTATAACTGTGTATGCTTTTATAAAAGCAAAAGGTTGAAATTCTTGGGTAAGCAAACAACTGAGAAAGTTACAGCTTGGCCAAAGAAACACTGCCACAGATACTAGGGAACACAGACAGAAATTATTTAAGCAGTGGCTATATTATCCGTTAGCTCATTTGAGACCATCCCATTTATATATAAAAAGGATAAGAGATAACCTGCCCTGCCTTACAGATAATCTGCTTTGAGTAAAAATTGCCTCCAACTACACAATTTTGTTCAGGAGACTGAAATTGTCCTGCAGAGGGGCTTCAGTAAAACTCCTCAAGTTCCTTCTCAGATAATTTATGTTCCAAACTGAAAGTGGTAAAAAAACCCCAAAAATGCAACAAACAAACACATATACAAATAAACAAAGAAAAGGAATCTAGTGCAAGTAATTGTCATTAAAACCTGTTGCAAAGCCACACTAAAAATTAACTTGACCACCTCTTTATTAGGGTCTTCCCTAAGTCAACTTTCTTAAATAAGATATATTTTACTAACGTATCATCTCCAAATTATGCAGGTTCTATTTACTTACAATGATGTATTTATTATTTACTTTTTATCTACTTATTTGATACTGTTTATAAAAACCATTGACAAGAGCTGTAACTTTTATTTTAAGGCATAACTGGATAGCACTTCCTGTTTCTAATGCTTCATTCATGTTGCAGCTCTCACATAGTGCAGGTTCCCAGGATAAAAGGTACTATACTTTAGTAGTTCTGTCTCCCCCATTTTACAAAGAGGAATGAAACCATTACCTATGGGAATCTCTGGGCAGACATTTTAGCTGTTTTCTCACATGCTTTTTCACTTCTTTGTAAATCCAAAATTCACTCCTCACTGCCTTACCCTTTCCACTTCTGAAGCCATCAAATTTAGCCTTTTCCTAGCCAAAGAGAAAAGGGTGTATTCCACTAAACCTCCACTGCCTCTGTAATGAGAGTAGGCCACTCAGGTAGAGGGAAAGCCAGCCCTGCAGTCACATGTGAAAAGTCTAACTACTGAAACCTCTGTTTCTTCAATGATCCTGAAGAAAGGGCTATTTTGGTACAGAAATAAACTGGGTTCCCTCTCACACAAGAGCTTGACTGCCTCTTTCCAGGGCCATACATATCAAGCTTAATCAGTCAAATCCTATCCCTGACCAAATCTCACATCAATGAAGAAGCATCAACAAGTCACATGCCATGATAACAGGATGAACTGAAATTACCTTTTCTCATGATTTTCTGCCACCCTCTGCACCCCAGGAGAAAAAGCCAGCTGACAACGCAGCCAACCTATTTGCCAAGCCTGCCCTACCCTTGTGAGGTTCAGCAATGAATTTCTGATTCTTTGGCTCAGAATATCTGACATTAAACAGCTATGACATTTGATTATCCCTTTATTCCTACAGTAAAATGCTGACATAAAGGACTTCTGTGAAAATTCATAGGTGATGAACCTTGGACTACAATATTCAGGGTTTGCTGCTTCTCTGAAGTGATTCACAGCTTATCCTCATCATTAACACACAAAGCAACTAAGTACTTCAACAAAGTCAAAAGTTATTTTTAACTGAAGTTCAGTTGTGTAAATATTCCTTAATGGAACCTACACCGCTTCTGGCATCATCTCTCAAATTCTGCCCATCTCAGAGACACAGTGATTTGGAATCTCCTGCAGGACGTCTCCTTGTTCTGTCCTTGAAATTACCCCATTTCCCACAGATATTCCCACAGAAACATTAAACAAATGCTGAAGTAGTGAAAAATGTAATGAGATGGGGTAATGCTAATAGGAGATAGCAGAAAGGTGAAGAAACACTTAAGAATTACAAAAAAAGTATTTTCAATAAATTATCCAAACCATACCTGGCTATCTTCTGTGAAGTCTTTGTTTTCTTTGATTTGTGGTACATTGCTACTCTTTTTTCTAAGCTCATCTATCCTTTCTTCACATTGTTCTTTTAATTCTTTCATCTGGTTGATGCACTGTGAGCTGAAAAAAAACACAAACAAGACAATTAAGTCTCATCTAGACTCTTCTATAGTGTAATTTTGTAAAATTATCTGATTTTTTTCTTGATATATCTATTTTTTTCTTTACATTTTATTATTGCCTTAATTCTACTACCTAGTTTTATATCTGAGAAGTCACTAGGAAAATATGAGGCATTGACCTAGGTCCTAAGGACAAATTCATAGTGCAGACAAGTTCTATTGGAAGAAATGAATTTAAAATACTTTTGTCTGACCAGCTCAACAAGCTACATGATTTTTCCATTGTGTCTTTGCTAACCACTCAAGTCCAGGTAAGTTAAAATCAATTTTGATCCTTGAAGCATTTCTAGTATGATTACAGAAATTCGTATTTTGGTTTTAGCCAGAAAGACAAAACAGAATAGTAGCAGTTGAAATAGGAAACAGATGTAATCTACTGTTCAGCAAAGTGCAGTGCTGCAAGATGTAACAAAACATGTTACAGAAATGGAGTTCACTAGTAGCTACTGTAAGTTCCAGAAGGAATATATTTTACATACTTTTAATAGATCTCAACCTTTGTGACAGCAATCTTCTATCTGTATCCATGCAGCCAGCCTGCCTTGCCCTCACAGCTCCCTAACTGCTAGGTAAGGTCTGCTGTTTGCAGCAGTGTTTTTCCTAAAGCTGCCAGGGCAGTGTTCTCCCCTTCTGTGGATGTGCTGGGGATCCTGTGCAAAGCCCAGGAGTTTTGTCAATCTGTTTCTCAACGCAAGCGGCTGCAGCCAGGGTAAGATAATCCTTTCTCTCCCACTCGCTTCACTAGCTGTTTTATAGCTTTCAGTTTATATCAGAGGAAGAACAAGACCTAGTGAATAACAAACCAAGACAAGCATTATCCCATAATATACACAGACAAATCTTAGAAACTAGTCATCATATGACCCCAAGTATGCTCTGACCCCACTAGGAACAGGAACAGCACTTTGCTTGAGTGGGCCCCAATAACAAATGTGTCACACTAGGGGAAAATATGGTGAAAAATCACTATCAATGTCAGTATCCACAGCCCTGGAGAGCCTGCCCAAGGAAGAGCAAGCTCTTGGCTGGGGACCACATTTTCTAGCAGGAAGGAAGTTTGATGGGATTTTTAAACCTTTTCTCCTTTCTCTCTCCCATTTGTTCTTCCAGTCAAAGGTACTTCCAGTTTTTACATATACAATCAGCTACAGACCTTGCAAACATCTTTCTGCATTCAAAATCTTTTCCAGCAACCTTTGTACAACATGGTCAACACACTGCACATTTCTCATCCCCATCACTAAGACTAAGAAGGGTGGTGAATTTCTCCTTATTCTGGCTCTGACCAGTGTTATTCCAAGTGTCAATACCCTCTGCACAACAGCAGCTGTTTCAGACAGGCACGTTGCAGTTTCTCAAGCTGAAAATAAACTACTATGTAATCCAAAGGAGTTTCCAGGCTACACACACTCTATGACAGCAAGTGACTCATTTTTATTGCACTTTCACCCTTCTCTTTCTCCAACCCTGCCTTTCAAAAGCAAAAAATCCCTTCTTTAGTTCACACCTAGAAAGGAAGAACAGCATTACCTTTATTATGTTTTCTTGTAGACCAGACATTATTCTAAAGTCTGATTTGACAGTGCTAATACACGGAAGAGTCACCAAAATAAGATGTGCTTTAGACTGGTAAATATCGAAGACAGTAAAACAGCATAAGCTTGAGTTATACTCACATCACTATTTTCTAAGAAGTAAAAGGCCATATTAATTGTGTAACAGTTTTCAAGTTTGAAAAAGATGCAGTACACAGACAACCTGACGTCAGAGACAGAGCATTTGAGAAAGCTTGCCCACAATGCACATGAAAATAAAGTTCATTTAACTTCTGTTACAAACCCTCACCATTTTAAGCTTATTATCTGTAACAGAATTCCCTTCTTTTAAAGGAGATCTGAATACTCTCCTCATGCTTACAACTTCTAGAGTAAGTGACTGCCTTAGGTTCTCCACCTCATCCCATCACCATGACATTTCAAATGTGCAAAACTAATGTTCTTAAATTCAGTCTCTGTGGCATGTGTTCTTCTTCACTACACAGTTAATTCAATGACACAGAGCTCACCTGTGTACACACAAAGGAGCCCAAATAATACCCTCCCCAGCTGCTCCCAGGCCCATCAAGGGAGCCACCAGCCCACCCAAGGGGGCTCCCAAGAGCCTAAAGGAGCACAGAGGCACAAAGGTGGAGAAGAGCCCAAACTACACAGTACAAGGAGAGACAGCCCATCTAGACCAATCCCACAGCATGTTTTGCACTAGCAGACACTCACTCTCAGGAGAGTGTTGTGTGTGCTCATGCTTTATGTGTTCTGTGTTCTGCAGACCTGGCCATGTACAGATGTGGTCTGCATGCACAGAACACACGTGCAGCCTCTCCCTGCTGAGTTGCTGGATTTGCCTATGCCCAGCATGAGAAACAGAGCACCTTTATTCTCCAGGAGAATCTATCACCTCTTTCTTACAACCCTACCAAAAGAGATTACTCCTGCACTTACACTCTTGCACTTGTCAGGTATGCAAATATCACACTAATTATCAGACTTTTTACACACAGTGAGATTTCTAAGGATGCAGTTATGTAACAAACAAAGCTCTTAGGAACAAAAATGCATTTGAATCTTGGAATGTATTCAATAACAATTTCAAAAGATGAGTCCAGAAGCTTCTATTTCACTCTGGCTGCTGCAAGAGAAAAGGATGAGTGTGCCAGTGAGCCTTTGCTGAAGAAGCTCTAACCATGACCAGACAGCACTGGGCACAGTGTATACCAAGGGTACGTTGTGAAGTTGACTGCTGAGGAACGCGTGCTCCTTTTGCACACAACCCCAGTAAGGCCAGATAGCGTCTGCTGACTTCTGCATGGAAAACACAAAGCTCATTCGAAAAACTGCTAAGATGAAACTTCAAGACTCAGGTGCAAGAAGGAACAATGATTTTCTTTTTTCTTCCAAGTTCACAGATTTTGTTCTTATGCATTTCATATGCACAACTGCTTTTACCACTGTCTTTTACAGAACAGCCACTGAATGTTTAAAAAGAGTGATTTACAATGTGCTGTTTGAAAAAGACATTTGACTTCTGTCATCTTTTTATAACATTTTCATTATTTTTATATGAATAATATGATCTATTTTTGCACTGGGCATAGTGTACTTGCTACCTAAGGTGCAAAACCTTCATCCACGCAAATCCAGGTAAAATAAAGAAGCACATAATCAGCTCTAATGCCCCTTCCTGGAAAGGCAGATGAACACAGAGGCAACACAGCAGTTTATTCCTAATTGGGAGGGGAGGAAGGAAGACATTAAAAATAACATATGGAGTCTTTCCAATAATTCTTGTTTTTCTAAGTTCACAATCACATTGGGAAAAGGCTGTTTGTAAGCATTTAAAGTGACAGTATTAAGTGAGCATATAGCAAAGAGGAACATATATAGCCATGCACCATCAAATATCCATTTCTGCAATTACCTAAACACAATGTAAAGTTAGTTGTGTAAATTAGTTTAGCAGAGAAATATTAACATTTCAACATCCTCCCTAAAGGTACACAACACGCAATGTTTTAAAAATACATGTTCCTCCTAGAACTGTGTGAATACTGCATAGTACTGAAGCTATAAATTATTTTATGAAAATTTGAGTCCAAAGTTTGTTTTCCTCACTTGCACTCTTAGGGAAAAAAGTCTAGAAATAGAATATGAACATTTAAGTATTTTGCAGCAAAGTTAGTGAAGACAGCATTACTCCTAGTCTGAGATAATTGCCTTTACAGACTCCCATGAAGGCTCTGCAGGGAATGGTGCACCTGACTCAAGACCAACCACAAGCAGCTCAGCTAGCTGAGTCCCTGTTCAACTACCACATGGCTGATCTACCACACCTGTCTCTACACTTATGCTCATAAAAGCAAGCCTATCTTTACCACTGTATCATGCTTAGCTCTTCACCTTGAGCCAGCCCAAATCTTGGAGCTATGCTGTCTGAATACAACCTTCCTCTGTTAAACAAAGAGGGATTCTTTATGGTACACTACCACAAGCAGGGGTGCTCTGTCAGTGATTTCCGCAACACAGCCATGCTTGTAAACACTTTGCCAGACATGGGTGATAAACCTCCAAGTTTTCCAAAGCCAGACTAACTACATTTGCCATGTATCACTTCCCTGCACATGCATATCAATCCAGTGCTTAACAGGTGTACCTCTCATGTGGAGCATGACTGTCCAGCAGATAGATATATTTGTGCTATATACAGATCTATTAGTTCCTGCTGATCTCAGACTTAGAAGAAGACACTGGAAAACAGATTCACTGACTAGCACAGAACTATCAACAGAGGTCCATGGGTCTCAGGTGTGTCATTTAACTAAACAGCCAACAGACAGTGCTTAACAACCATGGTACACAAAAAACACAGAGGGGGAACACAGAGGCCCCTTAACACACACATAAGCAACACAGCTTACTGAAAGGCAGGTACAAACTAAAGTTTCCAACTTCCTTCTACATTTCTGTTAGAAGTCTTAAATTCTCCACTAATATAATCCATTAAGGTAATCTTTATTACAGGAGTAATAATCAAAAAAAAAGGTGACAACCAACTGGTAATCAGTAAGTATCACAGAAGCCCTAACATTAATCTTTAATTCTAACATGGAGGGAAAAATAAAAATAAGAAAATATTTACTTCAAGTGTAGCCTGCAGAATTCAAGTTCTTTGAGTGTTGTGTTCCACTTTCAGTTATAATTCCAACAAAACCTGGCTAAACAATGGCTGCTGAAAAAAGACCTATCACTACAACAATTACATTCTTGATGGAATATCATTATGAGAACATGCAAACAGCAAATTCTATTGCATTTTTATATCTATGCACAAGGGGGAAGATACTACAGGTTGTAAAAGCAGGTAAAAGAAACAAGAATATTACTGAGCAGAAAGAATGGAGGAGAAATTCCTAGAAATACCAGAAATGTGTGTTTAGTGTAAGGATACTGATAAGTACTTTTGTTCAGTTATCCATGCTTTAAAATTCAGTGGGAAATCTCAAGAAAAAGCCATGACTAGGTATGTCATGTAAAACAAAACACATGAGTCTGATGGTACCAGAAATTCCCAAGACCTCTGTCAGCTCAATAAGGTATAGCTTCTCATCAGGTGTTCCCCTATCTTAATTTAAACTTCTTCACAATTTAACCTCTTAGTGTTTCAATTTTCCCACACAATTCTTAAGTGATAATATTACTACCTTTATCCTCTTGCAATAGAAGGAACATCAAGAAGTATCTGGGCACAGAGATGAGTAACACTGGAAAGTTAATGCTCTTCTCAAAGATCAACTGTGAGCAATTTCAGATGAGTGAGATGTTACCTTCTCTTCAAAAACATGTATTTACGAACAGAGCTATGGATAACACAAGAGTGCTCTGGGTTATAACCAAGTCACCTGTAATTTAGGAAGTCATCTTTCCTAAAGAACATACTTACAGGTCATATGAGAACTTCCTCTGAAGGTTAGTCTGGTTCTTCTGAAACCAGTAAACATCCTGCTGTAGCTTTCCATACTCCGTCTGTAACTCTTTCAAGTGTTCTGGTCAAACCAGGATTAAAATACACATTAAAATACACATATACGTACAGATTCTAAACCAGAAACATCAGGAAACAAATCTGTAACAACAATGTTAAATTAATTCATCTGTCACGCAAACTGCATTTCATACACAAATGGATCAATAACTGTTGAATTTATTCAACAAGGGTGCATGGGATCTGGTAAGAATAACTTTTCAGCATAATATATTGGCAAAACAGTATAATACATATTTTTACCTACTTTTCCTCTTAAGGAATACACAGAACTGATTTGCAACCCCTGCTAAGTTGTAGCCTAGAAAATATATTTACATCTGTGAAATCATAATCAGAACACAATGTGAAACAGCATTCACATTAATCAGTCATATATAGACAAGCTTGCAATGCTTCCCTGAATAATATGCATTTTATACTCATGTTCCTTAGCAAAAGAGGCATCTATGATTTAGAGTTTTCTTCCTGACAGAAACCTCTGTGAGATGGCATGAGAAGACAATACTACGACATATTTACTTCTTTATAGGATTCATTCCCAAGTACCTCCAGAATACATTGCTAACAACACTTTTGAAGCACTACCATGAATAGAAATTAATTCGACTGACTTTTTTTATTTATTACAGGATTTGTGAATTCCTCTGGTGCTAAAATGCATGACCCCACGCCTCAGGGAAGAATGCAATATGTTGCCAGGTAAAATGAAGAAAAAATGTATTAACTTAGTTCTATTATATTATATCATAGGAGTCAGGAGTACCACATCAAGCAGTACCTGGATAAATCCTTCTACTGTTGAGGCAGACTAGACTGCCACTTAACTGGAGCTATGCAGATGAAGTATCTAAGTCATGGCAGCCCCTGTACCACCCCCACGACTTGAAGAAAGGCAGCATTCTCAAAAGAAAGCGCAAGTCTTAAAAACAGAGGGCCTAAGAATCACTATGAGAGAGAATCACAGGGGGTATGACAACATACCTCGTAGACTCTGAATCAATCTATCATTTACTGTGATGTTACTCATCAGCATCGCCTGAAAGAAGCAGAAAAAAAACAAGTGTTTTAATTACAAAGGACCTGTATTACCACTATAAGCAACACCTAACAAAGCACTTGTAACAAGAGCTACTTTTTGTGTGTCACAGTTGAACAAAACCTTTTAGCTGCTTTAGACATTTCCTACTGCAAACAACACTCATTCATTTTTACCCAGATTTTCCTGTATAGGGGAGCAGGGGAATACATTACTGCACAAATGAAAAGAGGAAGAACTTAAAGGAATTTATAGACAATAAAATTAGTTGTCACTTTATTCTAATTTCATCTCATGACTGGAGTCACAGTCACACAGGAAGAATACAACATCACAGCTCACTATCAATTACCCTCTCACTCAGGAATCAATACACCTGCATTCAGGCATGCAAAGATGATCTATGAAAGCATTAATCATTCAGCATAAATCAACTCCATGAAAGCAATGTGAAACCGTTGCATTGTGTCACTTTTCTACCTATCTTCTCGATTGCTTTCATGTTGGAGTGGCCTTCTTCCACTTCTCCGCTTTGTTTTCCCTCTCATTCTGAAGAGGTAGTCAACATAGGAACACATTTCGTCTATTCTTTCATCCATCTCCATCTACCATTTAATATACACACATTCCCCAAAACACCTGAAAACTGAATCAAATCACAGCTAAGTGAAATTATTCCTGTGAGCCAGATGTCAGGGTAACTCAGATTCATATTCAACATTTATCAAGTCTGATGCAGAAGAGTTCTTAAGAATACAAAAAAGAGATCCACTGACTCTTCAGAAACAATCTAGTCCAGACTTAGGAAGATATTTCTCAGGCTTCATTGTCAGTTCCCCTATTATCCTTGTCCTGGGAAACTTCAGGGTTCTTCAATGGTCCCAGAAAATCAACTCCCATGTTTCCCAAAGTTTCTGCTCTAGTATTGATGTGTGTGTTTATGTCCATGTAAACAAAAAGAAGTAACAGCATCCACTCCGTCTGCCCAAGTCACCCTGAAACACTGACAGCATTATTGGCGCCTTTCCTCCCAAGCCTACAGTAATAAGAGCCAGCTGATTACACGAGTGCAGCGTTCAATAAATCTGAGTGGAACAGCACCCAGCAGAGTAGTAGATTTGTCTTTGAATGACCCTTTAGAGTCACACTTCATTCAGCTGTTACTAAGTATTTCTACACCATTCTATATGAACAGCTGTTTTGTGAACACCACCTTCAAACCTCAAGGAAAAAAGGTCATGCTCAAGCAAAAAGAAACTTAAAAAACAGTAACAACTGTTTTGTATGTAGGCTCGTTTAACATCTCTCCCTCTCCTTTCTCATAGGATAGGTAAGTAAGAAATTCATTTGTTTTCACTGATTTATTGGGAAAAGGAAATTAATGTTTCACTGGAAATTCCAAGTTTTGCTTTAGTTTTGTGTGGACAGTGTAGTCAAGTTGTTCCAGGATTATCACCTTCAGGACAATACAGCATTGGCCATTACCAGAAACTGTCAGTGGACTAGAAAAATCAGTATGATAGAGCAATTTATAATTTTATGTCCTTACAGTTTTTTGTGGGGCTTTGTTGGTTTTGGTTCTATTTATCTGGGGGGAAGGGGGGTAAGAGTGGGAGCAAATGGGGGGGTAGGTCCGTAAAATCAAACTCCTAAATGCCAGGATCACTTATGTGACAGTAAAACTTACAAGTGTTACATGTTTTGAACATTAGGACAATAACAACTGTGATTAGCTGAAGTAAGAAAAATTACTTTCCACATTAAAAAAGTCTCTTTGAACCACAACAGGGAAAAAAATAAGTCTGCCTTGGTCTTTATGGATTGCATATAAAACTTCCTTTTGTCAATGCCACACCTATTTCCTTGAATGTGTGGGCAACAGTCCAGGCAAAACCCTGTTAAATCCTAGTTAGTTGCTAACTTGAGCAGGAAATACTGTTTAATAATTTACAGCACAGTACTGCAACTGCCACCTTCCAATCAGACTAAGTCAATAACATCAGCCTTCCATTCTTCCTCCTATCATTCAAGTGCTAACTCATTTTCACCTTGTGGCTGTAAACTAAGCAAACATTACTTACTTTTGGGGTTTTATGCCAGTCAAGAATGAAAACTGCTGGGAAGTACTCAGCAGACACATGCCAGTTCTCAGTTCTAGAAAGAAACTCACATTTTAAACTTCATTTAGCCCATAAAACAATAGCTATAATCCCCATAAGCAAAAAATCCAGCTTTTGGAAAATCCCCCTATCACCATATCAGAATCTAATATTCTGTCATACAGTAAATCTGTAATATAGAACCAGCTTATTCTATTTATAAACATGTTTGCACAGAAGTCCTTATGACTACACCAAAGGAGAAAAAAACAAGTATTTTGATTGGAGACAATGCTGTGGACAGCAGCACTTCAGACATCAAATCTCAAAAGTCTGAGTCATACTTCCACCAGTAGTGTGGGAAACAAATTGCTCCAGCTGTACAGCAATTTTTTTAACAAAGCAGCTGAAGACTTGTTTATTATTCACCACAGAACATGTCTACATAAATATTATTCCACTTAAGAAACACAAAGATAAAGTTACTGTTTAAAAACATTAAAGCACGGTGCAAAAATATGCATGAGGAAGCTTTGTGATAAATTATTTGAAGTATTTTTTTTGAGCACATACTTTGGACTATGTAAATGCATTTCATCTGAATAATGCCAAACAGTATTCTCCGTACACATATTCCTTGAATAGTAGCATTTGCTACTACCAAGAGCAAGCTAACCCAAGCACACTGAACTGACATATGTCCTTTCTAACACTGACTGTATGTGGTGGATGTAAAAGCATAATGAGCATGTATATAAAAGCATAACTGCAACAGAAAAAAGAAGCAAATAGTTTGATAAGCATCAACACTAAAACTTAAGAAAAAAGGGGCTTTGCATACACAAATATAGGACAAAGGAGACAAAGATACGCCACAGGATGAGTAACTCAACTGGTATGAACAAAACTAACTGTGAATAAAGCAAGATGGAAAGGTAAGATTTATACATGCAGAAACAGACACTTCTAATTAATCAGGGAAAAGCAGGGCACTTATTTCATTATTAACTCAAACTGATTTAAGTCCTTCCAGCAAAGAGAAAGAGCAGCTCTGTCTTGCATCCTCCCATGACTCCCCACGCTACTCTGGTATTAGCATGAGAATAATGCTGGCAACACACTGATGTTTTAGTTACTGCTCAGTAGTGCTTACACTAAGGCAAGGACTTGCCCATTTCCCATGCCCTGCCAGCCAGCAGGTGCACAAGAAACCAGAAGGAGGCTCTGCCAGGCATCTCAAACTGGCCAAAGGGACATTCTTTACCACAGAACATTGGGACATAAAGTGGGGGAGGAGGCATTGATAGCTGCTGGGGGACAAGTTGGGCACCACACAGCAGGTGCTGAGCAATGGGACTTTGTATGTCTTATTTCTGTTGGGTTTTATTCCTCTCAGTGACCAAATTGTTCTTACCTCAACACAGAGTTTTCTTCAAAAATCTAGAGGGAGATGCAGAGAGTGAGGAAGTGTCTGCATGATACTTACTTGCCAGCTGGTGTTAAAACGTGAGAACCAGCCACAAAAAGACTTTTTGTTTCCAGGCCAAGAGACAAAGAGCTAAACTACATGTTAGTGTGTGGGGAAAACATTAATAAATATGGTTTTCAGGGAAATATTTCTCTTTTAGGTTGATCATTGTGTTGCACACTCACACATACTTCAGTAGAGGCACATCAATTAAGTAAACCTTACAACAAATTTCAAGCTCAAAATGGAGGAGATATTATTAATTGAAACCTATTTCCCAATAAACAGAATTCCATTCAGAAATTGCACTTTTCCTCAATAAACACAAAAAACCCCACCCAACCAACAAAAGAACCCCAAACAAAAAAAACCCAACCAAACAAATGAACAACCCACATACCTAACAAAACCCAAAACTGCAAAGTTAGTTTTTTAACATTTAAGCACAAGAGGGTGGTATTAGACACACGAATACAAAATTACTATTACAGGTACTGGGCAACACCAAGTAGATTGGAGAAAAAAAGCCATGTGAAACTACAGGACTTTCACTTCACTTTAATCACCTTCCCTCATTTTGTGTTTAACCATAACTCAAATAGTAGGCAATGTAAGCAAAGCAAAATCATACGATATGAGAATATTAATATAAAACTTTCTTTTTTTTTCTTTCCACTATGTGAAGATATGTTTTGAACAGAGGTGATCTGATGTACCAGTTATGAAGAAGCATACTGATTTCCCTTGATAATTTAGTAATATTGTGCTACGGCAAATATGAGACATGAGGCAGTGCTTACCTCAAAGCTTTGTCAAAACTAGAAGACACAACACTGGATTGGAAAAAAAAAATCTAAAAACTAGAACATATATAGTCCTCAGTTGTTGCAGCGTGCTTTTATACTTTGTAACACTTTGTAATAGTTGGATTTCGTACCCCCTTATTCCCCCCCGATGATGTACCCCTTTTTGTACCCCCTTCCTCTACCTATGCAACCATTCTCCTGTGTTGAGATCATCCCCCAAATCCCCGCCCTGGCTCTCTGTCAGTCACTCAGCATCCCATCCCTTCTATCTAGATCTTTCGGTCAAAGCCGTCGAGTGATTAGCCGAAGCCAGGGGTCAGCCCCCCAAGGATGATGTTATACGCTATCCCAAATGTCCATCCCCTAAGGCTGTATCCCTGGAGGGTCTTTATTGGTCAGCAAATGTATCTACCCTCGGTTTCCTCCCCCCCTTTAAATGTAACCTCGAGACTCCTTTGTCTTGCTCTGAGCATGGCGCACCCTGAGGTGTGGGGCTCCCTGGGGAGCTCCAAATAAACCTTGGACTGGCCCCCTGTTCAGAGTCGGCCTTTTACCCTCCACCCATGTCTCTAGCGTCTCTTCTGCTGCAAACGTGACTGGCCTAGCTGCCCTCAGTACCCTCGGGGCACCAGAGAGTGCCCCCCCC